AGACAACAGCACCAAATCAGTTTAGCAGAGCAGGCTAGTTTAAAGAAAGAGTGTGAATCAAACCACCAAAAAGCAATCATATCAGAAGAAATTAAAAAAGTAGAAAAAAAAGAATTTACGTGTAACATCATGTAGTACATTAAACAAAGATTTTATTCAATTTGTTGAAGATACAAAAATAATGATTTAACAATGCTTATAAAAGCAATTGCTTTAAAAAGAAAATGCAACGAAACAGAAGAAGAATCAAGAGTTAAATTCAGATTTAGAACTGTTAAAAGCAAAGAAAAAACTTATTGATAAAGTTGGTAAATAAAAAAATATTTTTTGTGTTAAATTTTAAAATAATTAAAAAAGTTTTTTTATGAGTATGTTTAGAATCTATTTAAATTATATATATATGTGTATATATATATATATATATATATATAATATATATATATATATATATATATGTATATATATATATATATATATATATATATATATATACATATATATATATATATATATATATATATATATATATATATAATATATATATATATATATATATATATATATATATATATATATATATATATATATATATATATATATATACACATATATATATATATACTCGCTTTAAATTCGTAATTAATAATAGATGTTCAAAACGTTTTTTATACGTTTTATAGAAGATTTTACGACACGGAACCTCGTATCAAATTAAAGCATCAAATGACGTATTTTTCTTTATGCAATATAAAATATATTATTATCTGTCTTGTAATTCACAATTTTTCCGAGCCTAAGCTTCGGGAGAAGCGTGCTAACTACCTCCAATGAAGTACTTTGCTAGGTACCAACAATGTAAAAAAAAAACAGAAAGTTTTTAGAATTAGCAGAGAAATTATTTCGTCAATAAAAAAGAATACAACGCCTTGTTATATAAATAAAAACTACATGACTGGAGCTAAGAGAAGGAAATCTTTACCTTATCACTTTGCCCCGTTCAACGTTTAGTTAAACGGAAGGTCATAGAATTTCGGTGTTTAAGATTAGTAACTTTCAGAGATGGTACTTTAAACTTAGTAATATCAATACTGGTGTTTAACCATATTGAACATAATCTGAGGCCTGTTCAGGACAAAAAACCTAACACTATATTTGGATTCGGGGATAGGATTCTAAGACCAAGTTTGACATAGGCCTCTATGTTACTTATTAATAGTTAACTCATATTGAGGTAACAAACCAGATCCAAACTACGTACCAGATACGTAGCTTTACCAGATTTTAAACACTGAAATTAATTAACTATAAAGCTGATTTGTTCATCTTTTTTCTGTTTTGAAGATTTGTTAAATTTTTTTTTGAACATAAATATTTTTCACCAGTTTTGAACTTTCTCCACCTTTAAACTGACAACCATATAGCTTAGGCCTTTTAAAGTTGATATTCCTAAAAAAGATTGTACTTAAGTAAACTTTACTTGGTCATTATTTTTAGACAGGAAATTTTTTTTAAGATAAAACAATTTTTGTGATGAACTTTGATCTAGTTTAAAATATTAGACAAAAAACAAAGTTTTTTTTCTTCCAACTGTATTAGGGATTTAATAACGTAGGAAGAAAAAAAAACCAATTTTTCTGGGTAATACTGTTCCTAATCTCCGATCACTGTAACTTTTTGTAAAACATTCTCATTTTTTACCCGTATAAATGCTATAAAATTTTAAGTTTGAACCATTTCTGAATGTTACATAACTTAAACACCAATAATCCATGATCTTCTCGTTTAACCGTTTTTTTAAAAAAACGTTGACAAAGTATTTTCAAAGCTTAAATTATAATTGTACGAGGTATTTGTAGTTTAGAAAATATAAGCTGTTTCCTGTGGACAATATTTTTCAAATAAAATATTTACGCATCGATGTATTATGCAGAGATATTTGTAAATGTTACCATTTTCTAAAATAAGGTAACTTTATAATATAATAATTTAATAATATAACAACTTTATAATATAATAACTTTACTATCGTATTATATCTTATCTTAAATACGTTTACGCCCCCACCAACTTTTATCTGCTCTTTTTAAAACTAAAAAGAGCAGATAAAAGTTGGTGTCTAAAATTGATAATGCTTTAATCAATTATAGATAATTAAAACATTAAAACTAACTACAGAGTTATATAGTTTTTATATAAGTTGAAATAAGTTGTTATATAACAAGTTATATAAGTTGCTCTCGATTCGAATTTAGAACGAATTTTCTGCTCTTTTCAGCAAACTAAATAATTTTTATTGTTTTAAATTTTGTTTAAATTATTTGAAACTTTACACTAATTTTTTTTTGTCACGTACATCAAAAATGCTTAAATGGGCGGAGACCCCTCAATTTTAGCATTTTGCCCCATTTATGATTTTTAGCTTTTTTTTGGACTTTAAAAAACTCTTTTTTATTGTTATAGGACAAATACTTTTGAATAAAAAGGTTTAATTTGAATGACATGACTTAAAACCTAGCGGTCTCTTTGGCGCTCGGTGTACTATGCAAATATTGTCTGAGGAAGTACCGCTAAAAGTAAGTTGCAACAATTTTACCACGGTTAAAATTACACGTTTTTACGTTTAAGATATTTTGAAAATTGTTCATTCAAAAAAACTATTTAAATCTTTTATTTATATCTACTATTATTATATATGTATAAATATTTGAAAATTGTCAATAATATATTATGTTTTATGTTTCGTAGTAAAAATTTACCCTAAAATCTATAAAGAATTATTGCAAAATAATAACTCAATGATTGCTGCGACTCATTATTCTTTCAGAAAATCTTTAATGAATTGAACTTGTCCAATTTTAAAATTGGTTCAAGAAAAATGAATTACTTGTTATTTGTTAAAAACATCTGCTGTCAAATTACATGCATATTATTGTTATTATTATTATTATATTATTATTATTACTCATACTTAGCCGGAACCTTTGATACCATGAATTAAAATAAAAAAATAGACCATGAAATTTTTTTAAATAAACTAAAGCTTTAAGGAATAAGCGGCAACGTTTAAGTGGATAAAAAGCCAAGTCAAAAAACTGTTAAAATAATCAAAAGCAATTTGTTTACGCTGATGTGGCTTTATCAATAAGTTTGCTTGATATTAGCTGCACAATAATATCGAATTTCTTATTAAAAAATACTTTTCTTAAAACAAGAAATATATTTCTTGATTGAAAAAGTAAACTTATTATGGATTTACAATTTTGCTGTTTGTGGAGTTCCTTAGAGATCACAATCAAGCCTCTTCTATATCTTTTTTACGTCCACAATCTTCATAAATTTTAAATTTAATGACAATCGTGTTTACAGACGAGACAAACTTATTTTTAACTTACCATAACATTACGTAACTATTTCAGAGAATAATGAACCAGTAGGAATTTCCAATTAGTTTAAGACAAAAAAAAACTTTCTTTTAGTATTAATAAAACAAAATTAATTTGTTTCTATCATCATTACAAAAAAAAAATTCTGCGACCATTTCATCTTTTTTTATTGGCAACATAATTTTGAATTAAATAACAGTTACTAGCTTTTTTGGTGTTTATATTGATATATTTCTGTCACAGAAATTTAAATAGTAAAATAGTATAGGAATTTTATTCACAGTAAGAAGTTTTCTAAAATAGCACGTTTTTACACATTGATTGTCACATAAAATATACGTATATTGTGTGAGATTGATCTATACCTTTTAATATGTAAGATTAAATTATACGAATATTGTGTGAGATGAAATTATACGAATATTGTGTAAGATTAAATTATACGAATATTGTGTAAGATAAAATTATACGAATATTGTGTAAGATTAAGTTATACGAATATTGTGTGAGATTAAAGTATATGTATTTTGTGTGAGATTAAAGTATATGTATATTGTGTAAGATTAAATTATACGAATATTGTGTGAGAATAAATTATACGAATATTTTGTGAGATTAAAGTATACGAATATTGTGTAAGATTAAATTATACGAATATTGTGTCAGAATAAAGTACATGTATATTGTGTAAGATTAAATTATAAGAATATTGTGTAAGATTAAGTTATACGAATATTGTGTGAGATTAAATTATACGAATATTGTGTGAGATTAAAGTATATGTATTTTGTGTGAGATTAAAGTATACGAATATTGTGTAAGATTAATTTATACGAATATTGTGTGAGATTAAAGTATAGCTTATAAGCTGACAGGTTTGACTGGCAATGTAAATAATGTTGTTCATCGTTTATATCGTTTATAGTGTCGTCAGTTTTTATATGCATTTAATATTTTTTTAAATAGTTCAAAAGCTGTCAAAATAAAATGGCGAATTAAGTTTAAATTAACCAGAAAAGGTATAAACGTAATCTTTGGGATTCAACTTGTAAGGATGTTCCAAGAACCACTTAGTTGGAGAAGGAAAAAGTTTTACTTTTTACTTAAAATTACAATTTATAAGTTATACTATATTTGTTGCTCCCTTGTTCTATATAAATGTTACTAACATGTAGGTAAAATTTTAAATCGTCTTTAGTTAAAATAAATTAATTTATGCACACACTTTGATATTTATTATGCTTTTACATTACTATAGTTTATAAATTACGTATTTATTATATTTGTTATGTTTTAGATAGTAAAGTAAAAATATAATAAATTTTTGAATTTAATAGTGTGTGCATAAGTTCTTTTATTTTAACTTTATAATTTTATTTAAATTACTGCATTATAAGCAGGTAAGTTTGACGACAATATAAATAATGTTGTACATCATGCAGACAGCTCAGACAAAGAAGTAAGTTTTTACTTAAAATTACAATTTATAAGTTATACTATATGTTGCTGCCTTGCTCTATATAAATGTTACTAACATGTAGGTAAAATTTATATATGTGTATAAATCTTTTCATTTTAACCTTATCATTTCATTTAAATTACTACATTATTAGCAGGCAGGTTTGACTGGCAATATAAATTTTTAATTTTACTTATTTAGCCATTCATTAAGTAGTCCTGTGCTTTATAATATATATAAAGATGGTAAGGACGTGAAGAAAACAGGTTTGTAAATGATGTTGTACATCATGCAGATAGCTCAGAAGAAGAAGTAAGTTTTTTTTTTTAAATTACAAAAATAAATAAGTAATATAATATTTGTTGCTGCCTTGTTCGATATAAATGTTTCTAACATGCAGGTAACATTTATATATGTATTTGTTTGAATAAACCATTTTAATTAAGTTACATTATAGGCAGGAATGTTTGACTGGAAATATAAACGATGTTGTACATAATGCAGATAGTATAGGCGAATAAGAGGTAATAATCTAATAATTGTTATTTATGAATAAAGATATATTCATTGCTACTTTTTTCTATATAAATATTACCTAACATTTGGCGACATTCATAATTGTGTATAATGCCAAAGTAAGTTATAATAGATAATAATTATAAGTAAAATGAATTAGTAAATAAAGAAAACTAGTTAATATGTATATAATAGTTGTATGATGTATTGTCTAGATTGGTGAAATGGAGAATGAGACTAACTACGGTCAAGGCCGGCGCAATAGGGGTGTGTGTGTGTGTGTGTGTGTGTGGGAGGGGGGGTGACACCCCCCCCCCATCAATGATTTTTAGTCGGCAAATTTGCCCCTTAATCGGCAAATGTGACCCTTTTGACTAGTTAGTCGGCAAATGTTGACCCTGTCGATATAGTTTAGTTGGTAAAGTCAGTCGGCAAATGTCGTTATGGCAGTCGGTAAATTCTAAAAAACGAGGACCTTTTTTTTTTTGTTTTTAGACGGCAAAGGTTGTGAAGGTAATGGCACCCCCCCACGTGCCATTACCTTCACAACCTTTGCCGTCTAAAAAAGCGCCGGCCCTAACTACGGTGAAAAAAATAATGAATATCAAAATATGAATAGTACTTTGTTTGACATCTACCTGTTTCTACAGATACAGTGCAGTCGCACTTATAAATGGGCTTGATGTTTTTTCGGATTAAATATGTTGTATTGATGGTTCTTTTTAACTTGTTAAAACTTGAAGTTATTATCAAATTTATATATCCTATTTTTTTTTTTATCAAATAGTTAATATAAAATAATAAACATGTAAATTGTTTTATTTTCTGTAAAAATTGTTTTCTTGATATATTTCAATTGTTTATCGCTATGTATATCACTTATAGTATTACATCCCATAGATTAAAGAACTCAATAATATTAGTGTGATAAAATTTGCATTTATAATTTAAAATGAAATTCAAATAACATTAGATCAAAAAAACTTGAAAACAAATCATGCCTTTTTACCATGAAAAATCCATGAGTTTTCCTTGGAAAGTTGTTTCTAATACCTATGGAAATTCCATGGATGGAAAATCATTGAATATCCATGGTATTTGGAACACTTTTCCATGAAAAACTCATGGATTTCTCATGGGAAACTCACGGGTTTCCCATAGGAAACTCATGGATTTCCCATGGAAAACTCATGGCTTTTCAATGAAAACTCACGGGTTTCCCATAGGAAACTCATGGATTTCCCAAACCCATGGTTTTTAACCATGGAAATCCATGAGTTTCCATTAACCATTACCATGGTTTTTTTTCATGGAAATTTTCCGTAAGGGTATATATATATATATATATATATATATATATATATATATATATATATATATATATATATATATATATATATATATATGTATATATATATATATATATATATATATATATATATATATATATATATATATATATATATATATATATATATATAAGTAATATGTTAATTTATAATAATTTTTCTGTTTTTATTTAAAATTTATTGAAAAAAACAAGATTCTGTTTTCAATGTAGTTATTTTCTCTTTGATTCTGCTTATTTTTCTTTCAAAAAATTGTCTTTTGTGACCAAACCTCTTTAAATAATAGAAAAATGTATCCTTAAAATCCTTACATTTAGCGTCAGTTTTAACAATGTAGACCCTGATTTTGTTTTTGCTAAAAATACAAAATACATGTCAATAAATAAAATAAAAATGAGTTTTGTTAAAATTTAATATTACTAGAATTAGTTAAAATTCAGAATTATTAGTTATAATTAGTTAATTATATGTTATTAATTAAAATTAGTAGAGCTTGTAGTATTACTTAAAATTTAGAAATAGATAGTGTGAAACATCAATTAGATACAATTTAAAGTTGAACAGAAAAATTAAAAAAAATAAAAATAAATATTGCTAATGCTAAAAAAATAACACTTGTAAGAATATTTTTTACTTTTCCATAAATTTTATTTACCATTTATTCTTGTCATTATAAGAAGCCTACACTCTCTGTTTGCTTGGAGGGGGTATCTGAGCTTGAAAAGGATCTCACCCACTGATCTATATTATAACTGGATAGCGCATCTCTAATATCGAAATTGAAGCCGAAAAAATATTTTGGCGGCCATATTGTGAGGTTTGTTATGATGCGCTTGAATTTTTAAGAAAAGAAACGAAAAAAAAAAAAGAAGAAGAAAAGAAAAGGATTGAAAGTATCAAGAAATTAAGAGAAAAAAAAAGCAATATCAACAAAGTAGTAAAAATCTGTTGTAAAATGTCTAACGAATGATCGTATTCTTTAGATAATTTATTTAGATTCTTACGTTGATATTCAAAAAGTATGATTATAAGTACAAATTGAAAATATAATACTCCTATATAAGTAAATAATCTTTTTAACGTTTTTACTTTAATATAAGAGTTGAAAAACTTTCTATTTATTGTTGTAAATAATATAATATATATATATATATATATATATATATATATATATATATATATATATATATATATATATATATATATATATATATATATATATATATATATATATATATATATATATGTATATATATATATATAATATATATATATATATATATATATATATATATATATATATATATATATATATATATATATATATATAATATATATTATATATATATATAAATATATATATATATATGTATTTATATATATATAATATATATATTACATATATATATATGTATATATATATATATATATATATATATATATATATATATATTATATATATATATATATATATATATATATATATATATATATATATATATATATATATATATATATATATATATATATATATTTATATATTATATATTATATAATATATATATATATATATTTATTTATAATATAAAATAGTTTTGTGCTTGTAAAAGTTATAGTTATTGATGATTAAATAATACTAACTTACTTAATGTTTTTCTCATATTTTTCCCTGACATTTTCTCAGTGGCTTGTTTTCCCAGATCATAAAATCGAACTTTGCAATAGCATTGAGCAATTATTTTGATTAATTTAAAAACATGATTTTCATTAATTCATGCAACTCTCTAAATAAAACAGATCCTAAACTTTCTAAAACTGAAATAGATATAACTTCTGGGATATTTTTGGACTGTGGCAGTTTTCCAGGTATTGTTGCTAGCATTCTTGTAATTTTTTTTTCAGTTTCTTCACAAACAGTAATAACATTTCTTGTTGGTTTTATAAGAACACCACTGTCCTTTACTTTAAGAAAATTGGATTCTGAAGCATGTTTTTTAGAACCAAGTGCATCACAACATAACATACAAAATATTTGCTTTTTAGCCATTTTAACAACGAAGCCCGATATATAAGAGATAGCTGCTTTTTTATACTCAGTTACCAATGAAATATTAGTTATAATAGAATAATCATGATCATTAGTCTTAGATGTTCTTTCAGATAAGTCATATTTTCTTATTATGTTTACTGATGTAATATCCAAATTGCTGTTATTTATCATAACTGAATCATCTAAGACATTTAAAATATTTTCTGCTTGTAATTTTTTTACAATTTCCTGATCCTCCTTCAATATGGCTCCGAAGTAAAAGTCGCTTATATGCTGCAGTGAATTGTTGCGCTGTTGGGTTATTGTTAAATCCTCCTGATCCTCGTATTGAATCAAAAAATAATTCAAGATGGTCTTGACTTAACTTATATGTTAGAAGATATTTTAAAGGTGTTTCAGGAATTTTAACAAGGTTATAAAATATCTAAATGTATGAAATATATATATATATATATATATATATATATATATATATATATATATATATATATATATATATATATATATATATATATATATATATATTTCATACATTTAGATATTTTATAACCTTGTTAAAATTAAAACAGCATCACTTCTTTGAAACTGTATTAATTTAAGATCTTTGCAACAGAACTCTATTGCATTAGCTACATTTGAACTAATTGCCTGAGCAGCAAGATTCATTTTCATTTTTTGTTGCCTCGAATTGATATGTGCTTGTCTTAATTTATTTCCAAGACGTAATCCCTCATTTTCTTGTAGTTTTTGAAGATAAACTATAGCTTAAGCATGTGACAAATATCGAGTATGAACTTTTTTATCAGAGTTGAGAGGATGGGTGAAAGAAGTGTTCATTTTGCAAGCATCAATTAAAACACCAAGGTCTGATAACATCAAAATGTGACATGAGGGACCATCACATGTTAGTGATATGACTTCAACACCGACATCTGTCAATCGTTTAATACATAATTTTACAATGTTTGCTCGTTCGGCACCATTTAACCCATCTATAAAAAAATGTCCGCATGGAACTTTCCATGAACTGTTTATACTAACAGCCATGAGAACTAGGACATCTTTTGCAACCGGGGATGAATCAGCTTGTATGCCATTCCCAAGATCAACATACCCCTTAAATGCTTTTTCATCCCAAGATATGTGTTTTTTAATAGTCATTTCATCCAACATAAGTGAGCAAATGACTTTAGATCCTAATTTTTCAGCTTCTATAACCTTTATTTAAGTGCTGCAAAAGTTGGCTTTGTAAAACCTGGTTCTGCTGAAACTTTTCCATACCATTTCCTAATTTGTGCTTGATGTGGTAAATTAAAATTAAATGTTTTTCGCACATAATTATAAGCTTTGCTTGAATAAAACTGCAGGGTAAGTGCCAAGGGTTTGATTTCTTCTGAATATTTAAATTCTTTACCATGATTTTTATGCATAATCATTCTTCTGGTTAGAGCCTGAGGAACTTCTGAAAATGTTTTTAAAAGCATTTCACAATTTGATGATATTTTTTGTTTTTGACTTAATATTTTTACTACTGATTTAAGAGATGTTATTTTTTTTTTTTAATTCTTTGAGATTTTTACTGTTCCGCTTTTACTTTCTTTTTTAAAGACTCAATTATCTTGTTTCTACGATCTGTTATTAGTTTTTCTGAAGTTAAACTGCAGTTCTATATTTTTTTGGGGAGCCAACTTTCATGCTGAAAGGTATAACACTTGTTTCCAAACCACTTTTTTCAGAATTTTCTAAAGTTGACCTATTAACAGGAACTTTTCTCTCTTTCATATTCTAATATTAAAAGAAAAAATATATATTTATATATAGCTGTATAATTTTTATATTAAATATTATATCTAACTAGAAGGAACCTCTAAGTTGTGTTTACTCACAGAGCTTAGCTAATAGTTCATGCAGCATTTATAAAATAAAAGCATAAAATAGCAAAATGGTTATTATATGTTTTAGCTGCTTACCATACAGTTGTGTTATAAACCCTCTACCACACTGCATAGGGTAATTAAGAACTAAAAGGTACATATTGAACAAACTTGTGCAATACATAAAAACATATTCGAACATATACCTTTTTTAAGTGGTCAGGGAATTTTTTAAATCTTTTAGGAAAAGAATTTTCCCTTAACCTAACAGTTTGTCCAGTTCTGTCAATATCTTTTTCTAAAAAATGATCAGAACATATCAAACTGCTATTACTTGGACTCCAGTCTTGACGATGTAGTTTGATGGTCCATTCCTTTCAGTTTCCATTCCTTTCTTTTTTCAGTGTTTGAAGGAAATCTGAATAAAAGTAAAATAATGTTTGATATTTCATTAAATTTGTTATACTTTTTGCACAACTGATATTATTTAAATCCGTATGTTCACATTGCAAGCAAACGAACAGAGGTCAAAAAATTTTAAAATGTTTTTATTTTTTAAAATAATTTAGAAAGTCACCTATGAAATGTTCAGGAAACTTTCGTTTTAAAGATGATTCATCATCAGAGATTCCATCACTATCAGTTCTTTTACTGCCACCATGTTTTCTTTTATTGCAACCAAATGCATTTGGTTGCAATAAAATTTGGTTGCATTTTGTTGCAACACATTGTGTCCCTCGCTTTTTGGTATTTTCTCCAGACATTTATAGAATAATTATTTTACTGAAAAATAATTATTACTATTTAAAAAATTTATTAATAATTTTCCAAACGTTCTATCTATGTTAAATACAAAAAAAAATAAAGTTAAACCACCAAACTAAGGAAATAGCTTGTTCACCTAACAATAATTAAATAAATAGTTTTTCTCCGTGGGTTCTCCCAATATAGCGCTGGCGAAAAAATTTTGGCTTCAAAAATTACGCTATTTCCTTAAGAGATGCGCTATTCAGTTATTATATAGATCAGTGATCTCACCTCTGCTACAGCATGAGGCTCAAATTGGCTGGTGAACTTTGTTTCAGATAAAACTCAATTTTATTCGGCCAATTGTTATCGCAATAATTTAGATCTTCCTATATTTATAAATGGTAATGTACTAGATGAGTCATCTACCCTTCATCTTCTAGGATTAACTTTTACTTCTGATCTTTCTTTTAAACCGTATATCAAATCCATTGCAAAATTAGCATCTGCTAAGGTTGCATCTCTATATCAAGCTCGACACTTCCTTACTTCAGATTCTATACTCTATAAATCTCAAATCTGTCCCTGTATAATACTGTTGCCATATCTGGGGATCTTTTAATGATGCCCTTTCATAGTTGGACCTGCTCTTGCAGCTAATCTCCAACCATTGTCATATTGTCGCGATGTTGCTTCTCTTTCTCTTTTCTACAAATACTATAATGGGCACTGCTCTAAAACTAGTTTTTTTCTTCGAACATCAGTTCTTTGGAATTCGCTTCATTTATCTTGCTTTCCTGATTCATATAATTTGCAATCTTTTAAGTCATCTGTTAATTGTTATCTTGCTCTACGAACTTAATCTTTTCTCTTCCAATAACTTCCAAACTCTTATAGCGGTTGTTTGCAGCCTTGTTGGAAGCGAAGATGTAATATATAAATTAAATAATAATTATAATGGCATATTGTTTTTTAATAAACTAATATATAGTCTTTCATTCATTTACTTACTTATCTTAAGAATAATGAAATAAAAAAAACTTTGCTACTACTACTTCTGCTCCATGAATTAAGATCTTGTGAAGACTCAGAGGCATGTAATACCAATGGTTCAAGCATGAGTAGAGTTTTGCGGTCTACAGACAAAGTAAGCGAAACTTACTAGTATCTATTTGAAATCCACTTGATATACAAATTAGGATTATATGCAACTTTACAATTAGTTCCTTGTTTATTTCTGTAATATCAGCAAACAAGTCTTCATTTGAAAAAGCTTTTCGAGCAGTATTGCCGTCATTTGAGTTTCCAGATCCTCCATATTTTGGTTAGTCAACAATAAGTCCCATTTTGTGTTGAAATTCTTTTTGTATCTTCATTTTTTGCTCTTTGACAAGAGATTTCTCTACGTCTCCTCTTGCTTGCCATTTTTTTATTGGTATCTTATATGAAATATGTATGAGACACTCAAAAAATCTTAAAGTGAAGTAAACGTTAGTAGCAAAAAAAAAGCCAAAACTGCCTGTCACTGATGCATAAAAACTGAAGATTACACTTACGTTTAATTGTTTTGAATAGTCAGAGCGAAAAAAACAAAGTTAATTCAAATAATATATTTTAAAATTATACTCAATAAAATTAATTTAAAACAATAGTAGCGTAAGAAAGTTGATAATTAAAAAATGCAAAAAAGCGTTTTGAAACACATGTCAAATTCACGTGTATATAACCGCATAAAACATCGTTTAAATTAATATTTATTGTTTTTTTAACAATATATTTCCTCTAATAAACATATTTTCACCATTATGACATATTTTCAGAATACAATGCCGATAGTGATTTTTTTGTATTTTGGCACACTCTGTCCCATTGTGCAATGCCCAATATAACTTACACTAAATTGTCCTATATCAATTACACTAGTGTTATCTTTTAAATTTAGAAATAGAAGTTATCAAATGTTGGTGGCTCATCATGCAGTGCATTTGAGAAGGACATGCTTTTAAAGTAAGTATAATTTTACTATAAAAAGAGCATTTTTAATACCGCAATTATATTGTATACTTGATATACATAAATATATTCGCATATATATGACATATATATAGTCACAACAATCCAGTCAAAAATTTCTTTAAAAAAATAAATTTAGTGTTGAGAAATTCGTATTTTTTGATGTTTGATGTTATGTTTATAAAATAATAATTATATATATGTGTGTGTGTGCGTGTGTGTGTATGTGTGTGTTATTTATTTCTTTCCCATTTATTTTTACATACTTATCTTCACAATATTTTTTTAGGGTTAAGACTGCTTCCCTGATTCCTACAGCAAAAAAAAAACTTTAAAATGCTGGTTGCATTATTTTAAAGAGTGTATCTGATCGAAAAGAAGGTGACTGATGTCAACTGTACGCACATTCGATTCTTGGAAATTAACTAGTAGAAAAAGAAGTTTATAAAGTTGTAATTTATAAAACTCTGCACATTTATATTATTAAAAGTTTTAAACGATTTATTATTTTTTTTCTTATTCTCAAAAAGTTCTGTGGAAACATAAATTTGAACCTTACGTTTAAGTAATGTCATGTAAAAACACGTATTTTAGACGTCGAAATGAGAACGTCTAAATTAGTTTATTTAAAGACGTCATTTGGCGTTTCCATTTAGCACTAGTTCTGAACGTCCTAGATTCACGTCTTTTAGACGTCTAAAAACACGTCTTTATTCCGTCCTAAAAAGACGTCCTAATTACGTTTTAAATAGACGTCATCTATCGTTGCCATTCAGAACCAGTTCCGGACGTCCTAAAAAGACGTCCTTTCGACGTCATATGGACGTTGTCGTGTCCACTGGGATATATATATATATATATATATATATATATATATATATATATATATATATATATATATATATATATATATATATATATATATATACACATAAATATATATATATATATATATATATATATATATATATATATATATATATATATATATATATATATATATATATATATATATATATATATATATATATATATATATATATGTATATATATATATATATATATATATAAATATATATATATATATATGCGTATATATATATATATATATATATATATACACATACATTCATACACACGCACACACACATACATTCATACATACATACATATATACATACATACATACATACATACATACATACATACATACATACATACATACATACATACATACATACATACATACATACATACATACATACATACATACATACATACATACATACATAAGTACATACATACATATGTACTTTACATCAGTCATTTACCATTGTCAATATCATTATTATCAAACCAACGCGTATTTGAATAAAACTTCAAAATATTGTCAATAATATTTGAACAAAATTACAAAAAATTGTTGTAACACATTTTAATAAAAAGTTCACAAAATTTTACCGACGAAGTTAATTGTTGCCAAATGGCAACAAATATTTTTAAAATTTTTTTTAGAAAAAAGTAAATGAGAAAAACAATAACAATTGTATATTTTTCAAAACTAGAAACATTTTTATTGACATGGTTAAAAAAACAATAACAATTGTATATTTTTAAAAACTAGAAACATTTTTATTGACATGGTTAAAAAAATAATAATAAGATCAGAGTCTAAAACCCAAGCACAAGTATGAGGACTTGAAAATAATTTGAAAGTGTATAGCATCCATTTTTTTTTGCGTTTTTTTATTGATGAATAATCATAAAATAGAATGGCGCATTAAAATTAAACAAGTTAAAGAGCAGACATTAAGGTGATTCATATTTATCTTTTGTTGCCATATGGCAACAGTGGCCCATAAAGGGTTAATTTATATTTCTGCATAAATAATATTTCATAGAATATTTATAAATATAAATTTATATAAACTAACTGTGCAGCCCACCAACAGTAAATGGTTGACTTATTGATCTAATATTTAATACCACGTCAAGCCCAATTCAGTTAGACCTTAATTCTGTTAAAAGTCAACTAGCAACTAAAATAACAATAGGCCATACAAACATTAATTCAATCACAAACAAATTTAAACCTTTAAAGGAAATATCTCAAGGCAAACTTCATATGCTAATGATATCTAAAACTAAAATCGACTACTCCTTACCATCAACACAGTTTCTAATTAGAGGTTACACCATACCTTATAGAAAAGATCGATCAAAACTCGGAAGTGGAATAATGCTATATTTTAGAAAACATATACCATTTAAGATACTAACAAAAAGTAATGATGATAGTAATTATGAATGCTTCTTTGTAGAAATATATTTAAGAAACAGAAAATGGTTGATTGCCTGCTCTGAAAACTATTGTCAATCAATTTCTTAAAAATCTTGAAAAAAACCTCCATTATTTTTCAGGAACATATGAATATTTAATAGTGGAATAATGTTATATGTTAGAGAACATATACCATATAAAATACTAACAAAATACTAACAATGGGCAATTTTATTGCTGAGATAAAAAATGAATTTATCGAATTAAGTTTTGTATTATGTATAACTAAAAAAATTCTCTTATAAAAGCACCAACCTGTTTTAAAATATACATAAGCCAAAAGTAATTGATCTCATCCTTACGATAATCCAAAATAATTCTGTCAATTGAATGGAATTGAAATTATCCGACTTTCATCCGAGTTTATGATAGCTAGATAAACCGGAATAATTTAGATTAACCGGATTATTGAACTTTCATAAACTCGTAATCTCAGTTTTGAGATTAGGAAGGAAATAAACAAAAAAAACAAAAAAACATACAAATTTAAATTTCTTTAATTTTTTTTTAATTACAATACCTTTTTTATAGAGAGAGTTTTGTCAATTAAAGTGACTGCTACAGTTGCCGAAATAAGAAAAGGAATAATGACTTTATTAAAATACGCACTCGACAGATCAAATGGTGGTGGTCGGCGCGTAAAAGGCGGTTCACCCGATATATAACATTCATACTTTTTCCTAGTTGTTCTGGAACTATTGATAATAATTATTATTGATAAATTGATAAATATATTACTGATAAATAAAACTTTTTTTGCAAACATTTTATTTTATTTGCATTGTATATAAAGTCCGTTGAAGCAATTTAGTTGTATCTGATTAATTTACGTGAAATATAATATCCTTTGCGCAAATTATTGCTTTTTTATTGTGTTATTTTATTGCAATTAAAGTTGAGATAATTTTTTAGTTAATTGGATTTAACTAAAATAAAAAACAAAAATCAACGTTGAATTTACGTTGTTTCAACGTTGTTCTAACGTCTTATCAACAACGTATCAATCGAATATATCACCTATTCTAAGTTGAAATATGGTCGATAAGACATTAGATCAACGTTGAAACGACGTAATCATCGACGTTGTTTCAACGTCGTAGTTTTCGACGTCGGATTTAATTTCCAATTCAATTAAATTTCAACGTTGTTTCAACGTGGCATATGGTCGGTTTGCGACGTTGTTTCAACGTTATTTTAACGTCATTGTGCCTGCTGGGACATCAAACTATGATTGCGATTAATAATTTAATAAAAAATACAATTCCCTTTTCTTTCCAACATCCATCTACCCGTTGTAGTTTCACATCAAAATCGACAGAAAATATGAAACGTTTTACATTAAACTTATAGTTTAATGTAAAACGTTTCATATTTTCTAATGCATCTCAACATAATTTATATACAAATATTTTCTCTTGGTATTTTCAACTATGACTTTATACTTTATACAACTATTTTCAATTAATGTAAATCGATCGTTAACAATAATAAAATATAAAATAATAAAATAGTTACACTTTACACTTCCCCTTGGTCACAATGACGATCTCGTCTCAATGAATATAACGTTCAGGAGCGTTATTTTTTCTCCAGGCAGCACAACGTATAATTCATATTCTGAATCGTCACTTAAATTATTATCACCTCTACCTTGTCCATGAACTTCATTTGAAAATAAAATATATCATTGTTTATGCTTGCTTTTTTAAAAGTGTTTTGTAACAAAACCCATTAAAATGCGCCGAAAAATTAATAAATGTGGCAAATGTGCCGACTAAATGATCGAAAAGCTAATTGATTAGATAAGGATGGCAGAGGAGGAGGGGGGGGGGAGTAAACAGACTAAATTCCTTTTCGCACCGGCGTTGGATGGATATACTTACTTTTTTAATATTAATTATCTTTTATGCCCTGAGAAGTCTTAATGGGCTTACTACATAACTAAACTAAACTAAAAAAAAAATTATGTTTTTAAATTGATTTTTAATATTTATTTATTTTATCCTATAATGCAAAAAAAAAAAAAAAAAAAAAAAAAATCCAGGCAGATTGGAAAGGAGGGGGGTGGGGGTTAGAGTTCCTAAGACCTTTTCTTAAAAGACATTTTTTAAACGCAATTTTTGACCAAGTATTAAAGAGACAATTTATATATCTAATTTTTCAGTTGAATTTAGATAAAATAATAATATACAATTAAACTTTTTTATTTTGGATTTTGGGCCACAGTCTTTATTAAAATCAAAAGTAGTAACAGTTCAAAAATATTAAATGTATTAAAGTCGATACGCCAAATTAGTTTGTACATCCTTTTTTCTGTAATTTACTGACTCGTCTGTAACTTATGCAATAATTTCACAGACATGTCTGTAAATTATAAAATATTTTTAAAAAGTTGTTTTTTTTATACTCGATGATTCTTTTATGCATATTTGCATAGTGTGTCCCAAATTTATCCTCATTTAACAATTAAATAAGTAGTAACCCTTCAGTCTGTAAAATAAATGATTCTGGATAGTTCTGACAGATTTAATAAATACTGGATCACTATTTAAAATTTCAAGTCAAATGTAGTAACGGTTCAGAAATATTAAAAAATTAAAAAAAATTTTTAAATTATTTAAAGTTGATATGTTCAATTTGTTTGCACAGCCCATTTAAAGCAATTTACTGACCAATCTGTAAATTATGCAATAGTTTTTAAATGATGTATTTTTTAGATTCCATAATTTCTTTAAACATATTTGCATGGTATATTTACAACTTGACTCCAAATTTTATTCTCAAAAAATAAGAAAATAATATAAAAACCATCAGATTGTAAAATAGATAACTGGTCAATCAGGACACATTTTTTTATTTTTTTTATTATTTTTTTTTTAAAGATAATTAAGGTGCCCCAAGAAGTCCTTACGATCTTATCACAGAACACCGCGGAAGAGCATTTAATAGGAAGTTCACGCCTCCTTCCCAACCGAAGTCGCAAAGCTTGCTCAGAAGTGGGATTTGAACCACGGATCTTACGTTTCTGAGGCAAGTGCGCTACCACTGCGCCACGGCTGCTTTCAAGAAGTTTTGGTTTTCTATTTTCTTATAGTTGTTTGATCACTGTGAAAAATATCAAGTCAAATATAATGACGATTCAAAAGATATTAAAAAGATAGTATGATCCCAAAAATATATAAATTAAAAAAAAATTCTCTGTCTGTAAAATAGATGATTCTGGACAATCCTGACAGATTTGAAAAAAAAAAAATTGGAATTTTCTTTTCTTATAGTAGATAGATTACTATGGGAAATTTCAAGTCAAATGTATTAACAGTTCAAAGGTTATTCAAATGTTAGTTTGACCCAAAAAATATATAAATTAGTAAAAACCCTCAGTCTGTAAAATAGTCGATCCTGGTCTTTGCCGACAGATTTTTTTAAAAATATTTTGTAATTTTATTTTCTTATGGTTGGTGGGTCACTGTGGAAAATTTCAAGTCAAATGTATTAATGGTTTTAAAGTTATTAAAAAGTCAATAATACTCTTTTGATCGTTACCATAAAAAAGCAAATTATCCATAATCACCTATTATTTTATAAATTAATACCGTTTAATAAGCTCTTTTATAGGCTTATTTTTAATTTTTACTATAAGATTTCACTTCCAAGATAATTTTAAGGAGGTATACTACCTTAAGTGGTGGGTATACTACCTTAAGTGATCGCGCCATTGTACTTATTATATTTCTTAAAATTTTGGTAAATATATGCCATTTTTTATATTTTGGAGGGAAGTGTATAAGGTATTTGTCCGCCATTGCGGACTGATGCACCACGCAAAAAACGTACAACCTCATATTAAAAATCTGATTCAGTTGCTGAATTTGTTGCAGGATTTCTTTTTACAGCTCCTAAAAATTAATTTAAGACTTTTATTTAACTATCTAGCAGGAAAACAAAAAATATATACAACTTAAGGGCAATTTGCAAAAGATTCACTTTTGCAAATCATAAGCCTAAGACACAAGTGCACACTTGAAAAAGAAAGAATCAGAGACAGAACACATCAATAAAAATATATTTTGATAAACTAAAATATAGTTTGCACATTGAACATAGTTTTCACCATACAAAAAATAACATAGCGCAATATAATAAACTATAAAAATATAAAAAGTCAAATAATTGATTGAAATAAAACGGTTTAGTAAATAAGTATAAAACTTTTTTTAATAAATTATTTGTAAGCATATAAAGAGCAAATAAATGATTTAAATCCAGTTTGCAAGTCAAACAACTATCTTATACCCATGGCAATATTTGGATCATGGTCAACATAATTCTATGAAATATAACTCTGGTTGCGGTAAACGGTTTTCTGTAAAGAAATAATATTAAATCATATATGTAACATTAAATTACAAGCATGTTTGAACAGAATTGTTAAAGCAATCCTTTAAAATAATGGCTTGTAAAATAAAAATTTTGTTAGATTTTTATTCATCTGCTTCACCGGTTAATTACCAAGTTAATTTAGCTTTCCATCAATAAAGTTATATTTTAAAGCTTTTAAAATATATGAGATTAAAGTATATGTATTTTGTGTGAGATTAAATTATACGAATATTGTGTGAGATTAAATAATACGAATATTGTGTGAGATTAAATTATATGTATTTTGTGTGAGATTAAAGTATATGTATATTGAGGGAGTTATATTCTTGACATTCCAACAAACTGATACCGGTATCAGTTGGAATGTCAATGATGACTTTTGAATACTTGATATTGTATCAGTCCTCACGGTACGATTTTGTTTCAGCAAATGAAACAGCGCTTATTTGCTTTTATATAAATCTTTTTAGTGCCAATAGACACTCTAAAACCTATGCACATGATCACCCTGAAAACTTTGTACGTGTTGTAATAGTTTTAATCGTTTTAATCTGGGTGTAGTTTTAATTTTTATGGGCGTAATACTCTCTTAGAAATGGAATTACAATTCATAAACTGGTAAACATATTTATATATATATTTCACAAAATAGTTTAATATTAACAATAAATAATGACGATAGTTTTTAATTACATATTTAGCGTTTAGCGTTAATACTTAAATAATTACGATAGCTTTAATTACATTTTTAACGTTAGAGTTCAAATAAACTATCAACTCCTCAGTATATATTCAACTATCAACTCCTCCGTATATATTCAAATATCAACTCCTCAGTATATATTCAAATATCAACTACTCAGTATATATTCAAATATCAACTCCTTAGTATATATTCAAATATCAACTCAGTGTAAAAAAACTAAAGTTAATTATTAAACTAATTAACGAATTGTTTTCAAATCAAGTAAATAAATTTAACACTATTAAATAACTTATTCGAATATACTAATTTCAAAATTTTAAATTTCGAAACTATTTTTGTTCCTCGGTCAGCAAAAAAAGTGAAACAAATACTGGTGAGCTATTTTTTCATGTTTCTTCAATAAAAAAAGTTATCGCTTATATCGTGTAGAACTAACTAACATGATCAGTTTCATTAAACACCATTTTAAATCCTTTCCCAGTATTTGTCGAGTCTGAATGAAATCTGATACGAACAAAACTAGCATGTCCGTTAATAAATAAAGTATCTGGAATTCTTTCTCCACAAAATCTTCCAATTTTTTTTACTCTTTGCATTTCATAGTATATTTGTTCAACCTCTAAATAATCAAACTCGCATGTTTCATGAGATTCTAAACTAAACTGCAAAAAAATAACTTTAAAAGTTGTTTGATGCAATGAGTGAATGTTCCATAAACAATCTTGTTCATCTGAGTATTGGTACGGAAAACCAGGCGACAGAATTTCACCACTTGAAGCATTATACGTATAGAGACACTCTCTTTCATTTTGTACTACACTGTGATATTCTACCATAAATGAGGTTTGAAACGGAAACTAAAATAAAATTTTAAAATGCATGAAAAAAAAAACAAAATTTTTATACATTGCATTATATTTAACTGCATTATTTTAACAAGTTGTCAAATGACAAAGAGAGGTAAAAAGAGAGTATTTTCTCATTGCTTATCTGTGTAAACTGAATAAAACAGTGTAACACTTTTTAAATATGTGCTATTTTTTGCTTTCGTATTCCGTGTTTATGTATTAAAAAGCTATTAAATTATAAGTTTGAGCTCAAGAAAATTTTATTTTGTACATCACTATATATTATTTGGTGGTGTGGGGCTAAGAGAGGGTATTTTTATCTTTCTTTTAATAAGACTATTACTTTTAATAACCTTTATGATCTACAACTGAACCTCATAAGTTTCTAAAATTTTCTAAAAAATCGTTATATTTTGATTTTGAAATGATAACTTTTTCATTTTTACAATTAATATAAACTACTACAAAACTTCCTTTCTTACAAATTCTTACAAATCTTATTTCGGTGCATATATTTTAGAGATTCAAACTTTAAATTTTTGAGTTTTCTTTTAATTAACCGACAAACAACCTGCTCAAGCTAAAATCCACAGCTAATGTATGTACACTCCACTGTGCCTATGGCTATATCAGTAAATGTATGCTATATCAGTAAATGTATGACAAAATGATGACACCCCAAAAATATTTATAAAACGCCACATTACATTTGTATTTAAAAACTAATTTTTATAGTAAATGAAAAGAAATTTAAATGTAAATGTTTTACTACCAACGACACCAATTGACACATTGTAAAAATTCTTGAACAATTAAAAGATTTTTAATTGTTCAAGAACTTTTAGAAAGTGAAAAAAATCTTTAGCCTTAATTTTTCCATAAACAAAATGAACTTCTGATTTACTGTGATACCCAATTGAACAACCATATCATTACACCACCACTACTCATATGATGCTGTTGCTGTGTTACTGGTTCTTAATGCAAGTCATGAAAGTAATAATTCAATCAATCTGGCACATCAAGAAAAATTCGTTTTTTATCAGAAATTACGACTCGTTTCCACATTGCTTTTTATGTTACCTGGTCCTTTGCAAAGTTTATTTTATTGTTTATGTTTTTGTTGTCAATGGTGATTTTTGCTGAAGTTTTTTTCCCAAAAGGTAAAAAGCATTATGAATAACTCATTGAGTTGTATGTAAATTATCAAACCTGTTTCTATCACAATTTGACATATAGTTAATGAAGAATTTATTAGACTTATCACTCTTTATAAGTAAACTACACCTGAATTACCCAACATGAGTATTTTGATGTCAGTTAACAATTCAGCTATGATCAAATGCTAAAGCAAATTACCAAATTACTTTAGGTAATTAGGTAATTCTCTACTAATTGACTATGCTATAATGTTAACAACATGAAACATAATAAAACGCTCCACGTAAAATATGCATCTTGTATGTACAATAAAAATTACATTTAAAATTTAAAGTATAGATGTAATGTATAGATGTTCATTTGGATTTTTTTTAAATTTAACTTTTTATGCACCATAAATTGAATATTTCTTATTTTCTTTAATGTGGAAATATAAAATACATATTTAATTTGAAAAATATAAAATATTATGAACATAGATGATATAACTAAATTTTTTTTTTAACGTTAACTTATTTCCCAGTTGAGGAAGCTACTTTAATTATGGTTACAACCCTCTTTTAATTCTATAACTTAAAAACACAAACCTTGACAAACAAGGCCGTTGCGCAAAGAAACCAGTTAAATGCGGTACTATCATGGATGTGGTGGGGATCGAACTTGGAGCATTTTGTTTATGAACCAAGCGCTTTACCACTAGACTACTACCGCATTTAGTCAAACTAATAAAAAGTAACTGATGGTTATAATTAAGCAATACCTGTCCCACGTATTCAATAATTGCAGAACTTGTTGACATAACAAAGGCGTCAGTTATATCAGATTGTATACAAATTTTCTTTAAGTAGGTTTTCTGCCTCCTTTCCATTTCATTTTTAAAAAAAGTTACATAGCTACCACAATCATTGTTTTCTTTTGAAACAAGAACAATATCAAACTTTAACTGTAGATGAGGCGCACCTTGTACCTGCCACACACATACTATGGGAAGTTTATAAGTAGATGGTACCTGAGGAGATGTGATTCTTCCAACAGAGGATGTAAAAGAACCAAGACAACCAGAAAGTGCTGTTAATAAAATTACATTAATAAAATGTTAAAAAGAAAACTTTATTTTAATTCTGGAAAAAAAAAAACTTTTTTTTAATTTAGAAAAAATATTTTATTATAATAAAGAAAAAACATTCTAAATAAAGTATGCATTGTTTTTCTTCAAAATACAAACTATATTAAAGTTTGTACTTTGTAAAACAATGATAATGTTAAAAAAATTAATTTGATAAAAATAAATTATTATAAGAAAATAAAAAACATAAAACGTACAGCTACAAGTTTTATTGTTGCTTTGTAAAATGTAACCCTCATAACAAGAACATTCATATGAACCAATGTTATTTTTGCAAATCTGGTTGCATGGTTTATTAACACACTCATTGATATCTAAAATAAATATTTTTACATAAAATTTAAATCTATATCTATCTACATATACATCCATATATATATATATATATATATATATATATATATATATATATATATATATATATTAAGCCACTTGGCTCAATGCGGGATTTATGTATAGTGGATATATATTAATCAATTACTGCAAAAGACAAAAAAACTTAAATCGTTTTAGGAAATACAAAAGATAAACTTGCAAACTTCACACTGGAATAACTAAAGGTCCGAAAATAAAACAGCACTTTCAGACAGATTTTAATAATAAACATGATATTGGCAGTTACAGAAACCTAAAGCACTTTACTTTATTTCTGGCAAATAGCGTTTTCATTAAACAAATAGCGAATAGCAAAAAATAATTTGTTAAAATTAGATACCAAAGATTAACAAACATGAACTACTTGACCTGCATAGTTCGATTGGCGAACTTAAACTTAGCTGATGCTTTAGAGTCGATAAAAAACTATTTTCCAATTTTTTATTTATTGCATATTAAGTATTCACTAGTTTTTTTAATCGATCGTGCAGCTGTTATGTATTAAACAACATTAATAGTTTATATCATTTTTCTGGATCTTACACATGTTATAATAGAAAATGGTGAAGGTAGTTTATCAAAATTAAATGTCCTACTTAATATGATAGAATTAAAAGCTTAAAAGTTATTGTTCTTGATAATACAAGTTCTAACACTGAAGTAGATAATTGTTGTTGCTGTTTCAGTTTGTTTCCATTGATTCCAAGTTAAATGTGAATTCTGACATTGTTTGTCATCTGAGTACCAGCATAAATTTTATAAGTATTGTATTGGAATAGCTAAAGGATCCATTTCTATTAAGTATGCTAACAAGAAACCTGGCCCAAATAAAAGCAGAACTGAAAACAAGAGAAATGAAAAGTCAAAACATTGTCTTCAAAGTAATTTTAAAAACTTGATGTTGTAAGTTTAATATACTCTTTTAAAGAAAACATACTTTAACATTTGAATTAAAAACATCCAGCATGGTGTTACTTTCATTATTTTATAACCTAAACCATACATATATATCATATGTATGGTTTAGGTTATGCGTATGGTAAAAAAGGGCCAAATAGAGCCCCTTTTTACCATATATTTTTTACTTATATATAAATATGTTAAATATGAACATAAAAACAAATTATTTACAAAATATTATCATTTTTTTATTTAAAAAAACAAACCTTCAGTAAAATAAAACTAGAAAAAGTCTACCTTGGCATTGGCTTTTGTTAAAACTAATTGTGAATCCTTTTGGACATCCACAAACAAAGCTGCCATCAGTATTTATACATTTATGTGAACATCCACCATTGTTTATACTACACTCATCTTTGTCTTAATAATTAAAATTTAATATAAAAATAGTAGATTTATGTGCATAAATTATGAAATTATTTACCTCCTATTTTTACAAAAGAAGACCAAAACATGTTTTACCTACACATTGTGCTTTTCTTGAACTTCGATGATAAATTGTATCATAACCCTGATTACAACCACAAAAATATCCACCAGGGTAGTTTATGCAGGCTTGAGTACACTCATGTAAGCCTAACTGACATTCATCAATGTCTAAAAGTTACACAAAAAATTTAAAAATATAAAATATTTTCGAAACTTATTGCGTAGATCTTAAAATATCACCGTTTTTAAATATTAATGATTTTATATATTGAGCAATGTTATCGCTTCTTATGTCACTTTAAAAGAATGTTGTGTAATGTATTTTGCTGATTTCTTGAGTTAGCTATCTATATTTATTATACATATAATATTTTCACTGACTTTCAATGACTTTTGTTCTATGTTATGCTTATGTAATTAATACCACATCGTTTTGGAGCCATGAGGTTACTAAGGTCATTATTTACCATATTATTATAAAAAATCTCTCTACTAACTCTACTAATAACAAATAACCTTTTAAACCTAATTTTAATTATAAAAATAAATATTTTGGCGTTTAATGGGTCCGTTAAATGGCGGTGCTCTCTTTAAATAAAATTTTACAGCGTCAATACCCTCGTGATGAGGAATTTGATTGAGGTTTGTATACAGAGATATAACATCAGCCGTGACAAGAATGTAATTGTTGGTTTCTAGTACATGAGATTGAAGGAGTTTAAGGAAATGCGTTGTGTCTTTAAAGTATGCTGGTTTTGAAATATAATATTCTTTTGCGTACGTTTTAGTGAGTTGCAACTGTTATTTTTCTAATAAAAAATGTTTTTAGTGTAACAATAAAAATAAATATTTTTTAGTAAAACAATAAAAAATCTTATTTGAAGATGCACATTTGGAGTTGCAGTTTTCAAACTTATACTCTCTAGACATTGCTTAAATATTGGCATAAGTTGGGTTGATGCCATTCCAGTTGTGGCAAATATTGCTAGACTAGGAAAGTGGGTTTTCAATACTTTTAACATGAAAAAATAAGACAGGTTGCTAACTCACACTTTTTAGTGTTGCATTTTTTGAAATAAATATCAAAAAATAGAAGTCTTTGCAGAGAAATAATAATGGACAAAAAATTTACATAATGAGCCAATACATTTATTACAAAAAAATTCTGTAAATAACCAATCAAACTAACTGCCAAAATAATAATAATAATAATAATAGCAATAATAATAATAGCAATAATAATAATAATAATAATAATAATAATAATAATAATAATAATAGCAATAATAATAATAATAATAATAATAATAATAATAATAATAATAATAATAATAATAATAATAATAAACTGACAATAAAATTAAATAGATAAGTTTACAGCATAATGTGAAGTTAATAAACAAACTTCACATTATGCTATAAACTTATAGCATAATTTAGTATAATTTGTCATAATAAAATATTATTTGCTATCATAAATATTATATAGTATATAAAATAGGATATATACAGGGTGACCACAAAGTATCCGCACACGAGACGGTTTCATCTTGTGAAAATATAAGCATAAAAGCACTTATGTATTTTCTTATTTATTTGTTGTTTTTGGTTAATATTATGTCATAAACTTTATATACTTTACTTTATATACTTTGTAAACTATGTTCAATTCGTTTTTTTAGAATGGTGCGCGTTTCTCCTTATCGTCAACTTTTCTGATCTTAACCCGATGGATTTCTCAGTTTGGAGCGTCCTAGAAGCAAAGGCATGCCAAAAGCTGAATAAAAATATTGAATGTTTTAAAAAATCACTACTGAAAGCTTGGGATTCTCTGGACCCTACCTATTCGTTCGCCACCGTCGAAGCATTCCCGAAACGCCTACAGGCCTGTTATTTTGCTGATGGAGGAAAATTCGAATTCAATCTTTGAACCATAATTGTTATAGTTCAATAAATGTTTTAAAATAAAATTTGTGTTCCAAATACTTTCTACATGCTTTTTATTAAGCTCTTTATCTGTGCGGATACTTTGTGGTCACCCTGTATATATATAATAACCACTATATTATAATATAATTTGTTTATAATTATTATAACTTGATGTGTTTCATATTATAATATGAGTAGTTTCTTAATAGTCGAATTACATTTTTATAACAACATACAAATGCTATTAATCTTTTTTTGACTTAAAATAGATTAATAGAATAATCTTGACGTAAACTCTGATAAATGAGTTAAGTAAATGTCTATTTGCTGAATTAACAGAGTTTTTCCGCTAATTTGCATGTAAAAAATGAAATATGGAAACTGTAAATTTTATGAAGAATATGCTGTCTCTTTGTTGTCTGACATTCTCCGTTATTTTGTATGGAAAAAATGAAATACGGAATCAGTGATTTTTTTTATGGAAAAGAGAAACTACGGAAACCGTTAATTTTTACGGAGAAAGTGCTATCACTTTGTTGTTGGACAATTTCAGTAGAATCTACGGCGAATTTTTTAACAGTACAGCTCTTTTAAAAACTAAATTTTATTAAAAATTAAACTTTTTATTTTTGTCTTGAAACTAAACTCTATAAAATTTAAAAGTAACTCCAGAATAGTTCACTAACCATAGCAACAATCTTTAAGTATAAGACAAATCATAGACCTAGTTTATTGTTAAATAGTTAAATAGCATGTAAAAGGTTTTTTAAATTACGAACTATGAAAAAGTTGTTTTTGTCCTAAATTATCCTAAATAATTCAAGAATTCTCCAAAGAGTCCTCCTCCAAAAAATTTGCGAATAAAAAAAAAATCTTTTTAAATAGAGTAGTTTAATTAGATGACTAATCTTAAATTAAATTATATATTATTTACATTTAATAATGAATTACTAAAATTAAACTAAAAATCTCTCCTGTTTTTAGAACAAAAACATCAATAATTTTACTGTTTTTTTTCAGTTATTGAAAAACAGTAAAATCCTATTTCTATTATATTTATCTTATTTTTATTATTTAACTTATTAGTTATTCCTATTTCTATTATATTTGTTGATCCTATATAATTTAATGCTGCTGCTGTTACCCATTCATGCGCCTTTGACACACAAATTTTGAGTTTTTACCATACTTGGCCTTTTAATATTTCTCTTTATATTTTTGACCACGTGATGAGGTGTTCTTTAATCTTTATAATCTGTTAATCTGCTTAATCAGTAATAAGATCAAAAACTTTGCTTCATCAGCTTAATTAGTAATAAGATAAAAAACTTTTTAATTTGATGACTTCTTTAAGTGAAGGTAAAAGTAATGTTATTTTTAAACAAGTACAGTAACTTTTAAAGTAATTTATTTAACTCATGCATTTTAATACTAAGACAATTCAAGTCCTTTGTCAATTGTATTTAAAGTATATTAACCTGTTATTTATTATTTTTAAAAATTAGAAGACAATGATGAATCTAGAAAACAATATGCATTTCAAAAGGTCAAACTCTCGATAAATTTTGTGTTTATCTTTAAACTCTTGCATCTCACATGGTCAACTCTATGTTGTATGTAAAGAACAAGATCATTTAATACCCTAATTTAAAGATATTAAAGAAAATCTGTTTGTTTTTATAATATAAAAAACCAGGTCGTTTGGTCGTTAGTTTTTAAAAGTTGTTAAACATTTATTACGAGGTATCTTATTAACAAAATTTATAAAATACAAAGGTTGTATTTCATAAATGCTCCTAATCTATATATTTTTCCTAATTTATATACTTAGTTATATTCGTGCTGATTATTATGTGTTTATATGTGTTAAGGTTTTATGGAATTACACTTTGTAAGTGTGTAAATATCTTTTATATATGAAGTGTTTCTATCTTAGTGATGTGTTATAATGTTATGTGTTTATCGTTTGTAAGTAGTTATTATGTTGTTTTAAACAGTTATTATGTTGGTTTCAAATTAGTGTGACTTAATTTACAGCAAGTAAAGTGGTGTACTGTCATGATGAAACACATCAATTAAATTTGTTTGTTGTTAGTTTAACCATAAAATGTGTTAAAAAAATATTGTCGACAGAATGTGTTTAAAAGAAATGTTAAAAAGATATATAGTTTTTTAATATCTATAATTTTTTATACATTTATAATTTTAAGTAAATTTTATTGATAAGATATATACTTAAATATTTATATACTGTTGCTTTTTAAGTAAACTTTGTTTCGTTAGCAATTTGCATTTTGTTAATTTAAAAAAAAAATTGTTTAAAAATATATATTCAGTTCTTTTTTAACAATTTATGCTTTTGATGATAAATAAATTTTGTTAAAAAGCGGGCTTCCTATTTATTAATAGCTTCTCCCCATTTAAAAATTTATAAGTTTTTATTTCCTTCATTAAATATGTTTAATTTAAATTTATTGTTTTTTTTTTTATGAAGGTAAGTATACAAAGTGTTATATCATAGTTTTTAGTAACTTTCACTAAATATTTAGGATTTTTTGTATAAAGAATGTTTCCTTCAAAATAATATTTTAATATTTTATATATATATATATATATATATATATATATATATATATATATATATATATATATATATATATATATATAAATAAATATATATATATATATATATATATATATATATACATACATACTTATTTATTGCAAATCTTGCATTAAGTAGATTTCAAAGTAATGAAAGATGGAGGATCATTTTCACTGTTCAATGCTAGCAGTACTTACTGAGCAGACAGACCTTATAGTTTTATCAATTTGCTTTATTTGAGTTTTTATCTGTAAAAAAATTTTTTTAAATTGAATACTTATAATATTTTGTCAATAACTAATAAAAACTTTAAATATATAACAATATATATAAAAACCTTAAATATATAACATTACTTAGTTAAAAAGATTATATCAATTTACTTTAGCTTAAGTTTTTGATAAAAATATGTAATCTTTACACATTGCTCAATTATTTTGAAACCTCTAATTTAAATATGACTAATAGTAGAGTAGAATATAGTTAGATTAGTATATTATGCTCTGTTTTATTTGCTTACACTGTATTTTAGATAAGTTTAAAAAAGAAAACTCAAAGTTCAATCTAAAAATAAAAGTTCAACTTTTATTATTTTAGGCATCATTTTTACACACTCCTTTGATGCTTAATTATGTCTGATAATTTTAGAAGTGAACTTATTAGACTTCCTTAAAATGAAAGAAACCTGGTTAGGCGAGCTGAGATAAATTGTTGTCAAAATGAAAGAGATGAGCCGAGACAAGCTGAGATAAATTGTATTCAAAATGAAAGAGATGAGCCTAGGCGAGCTGAGATAAATTGTCATCAAAAAGGAAGAAATGAGCCTAGGCGTGCTGAGATGAATTGTAATCAAAATAAAAGAAATCAGGCAAAAACTCAATAGTTTTAATAATGCATCACATAGCAAATTTAATTATTTTATTTCTTTAGTTCCACTTAGGTGCTCTACCAAATATCATGTTTATTTTTTCTACTGTTAAAATATGATTTTAACTTAGCAAATTTTAATTATTTAAAATTTGCTAAGTTGATCATTAGCTAATAGTTTAAAAAGAAATTAGTTGTCGCAATCAAGGTAAGAATCTGATCAAATTGCAAAATTTCTTTGCACCGATAGCTTTTTTTTTTTTTTAATTATTTTGCGTAATAGCTAATTGTCTTTGCAATAAATTTCTTTTCTTACAGATTTTGACTTTTCAACGATACTCAAGAAAACGTATCAGCAACAGGTAAATAAGTTTGTAGTTTTTTTTCATTTTAAACATATCTTATGATGCTTTTTCAGCTTATTGCAGATCAAATACAGAGCCCACATCTCATAAGGTGTAAGCTTGAATTTAGGGCAAAAGCTCTGCCCTCCCCTTTTTTTTAATATACAATGTTGATCCTGTAGAAAGTAAAGTATAATGAGAGAGAGAGAGAGAGAGAGAGAGAGAGAGAGTAGTCAGAAAAAAATAAGCTGCATCTATAATTAGTATTTTTGTAGTTGGTTAATCTACCAATAGGATAATGTAAATTAAGTTGAAATTTTTTTGTAAATATATACTTTTCTTTATATATTTTGTTATTATGTATAAATAAATTGATTCATACATGTGGTTTATTTAATCCTTTTTTAATTCAATTACTTTTTTTAGATTAATCAGATGACGTGTTTGTTCAATATACACATACAGTTAAAAACTATTAAAAATTGTTATGTTTTGTTAATTTGGTAATAAATGTGTAAATAAAAATATCTTTAATTTTACAAAGCTATTAGGCATTTTTTGAAACCACAATCCGTCATGATTTGTATTTTATCTGTGTGAACAAAATTCGATGCAAATATCTAGTGTAAACTTCAAATTATATAAATTATTAAAAATTATATCAAATGTTACAGATTTACTTTTACTTGATAATTTTATTGCAGCAATATTTGCTTAATTTTGATTTATATGAATTTTTATAAAGCATTTATATTCCATTTTATAAAGTTTAATAAGTCTTTTTTTTATTTTTCTTTAGTTTTATTTAGATGCCCCAAGAAGTCCATACGATCTTATCACAGAGCACCGCGCTACCTAACTGATGTCGTAAAACTTGCCCATGGGTGGGGTGGGGGTGTAAACCAAGGAACCTTTTTTATGAGGCAAGTGCGCTACCACTGCACCTCGACTGCTCATTAAACAGTGTTAAAAGATAATGTTATAGCATGCCAAAGTGGTTGAAGTGCTTCGTGTGGGTTTAAATCCTTTTATTTTCACACTTAATTTTTTTTTTTAATCTTTTTCAATTTTCTAGAATACAAAGTAAAAGAATTTTAAAAGTCTAAAGATATTATATATAAAGATATTATATACTACAAAAAATGAAGAGAATTTTTTAAAAAGCTTTTTAAAACTTGAAATATGAAAATCATGAAAATACCATTAGAAATTTGTTGTGCATATGTCATGGTTTTAAGGTTTTAATATGCGTAGTAATAGATTAAAGTATATGCATTAAAGCGACAACTTTCTTTTTTATAGAATAAAGATTTTACATGGAAACTTAAATTTTCGTTAAAATTAACAGGGCAAGAGTCCTAATAACAGGGATTACCTTTTGCGGGATATTTCTGGATTTTTCTCCACTTTTAGTTTTTCCGCAGCCAAAACATTTTCCATACATATACAAGTTTAGGAATATAATTTTGTAATATATTTGTTTTTTAAGCTTTTCGCTCATACTGAAACTAAAAGGAATTTGAAACAACTCAGCTAAAAGCAAATTTAAGAGGAAATACACTCTAGATATTTTACCCAAACTATTTTCCGTATTTTTAAAATATAACTGAATGAACTATGGAATAAGCTGCTAATGACCTGAAAAAAAATTAATAGAAACTTATTAAAGAAAAAATTAGTCCGTCCCCATTTTTTTAAATATATATTTATACTTATTTATTCTTTTTATCACCCAAATTACAGGTAAAACAAATTATAGTATAAAACAAGTGCATAAAACTAATAGTTTATATTTTCATTTTAAAGTCTAATTTAAATTTTTATTTTATATTTAAATTCTTTTTGGAACAAAGCGTGTACACGAAATAAATGTAAAAGAATAAGTACATCATTTTTTTTTCAGTGGTTATATTAAAATCTTTTTAATTGTTTTGTATTTTGTTTACAACGTGTTGTGGTTTCAAAAATATGTATTAGTTTTTTGATTTAACTTAAAATTAGTTTATAAAATGACAGAAGAAGACATAAGAGAAAAAATTATGCGCAAATATTTGGAAAATCCCAATAGTAGCTACAATTCGATAGCAAAAAAGTTGCAAATACATCCATACATCGTTAATCGTGCAATTCAACGTTTTTCTCAAACAAAATCGATCAAACGTAAATCTGGTAGTGGAAGAAAGAAGGGTTTTAAAGATAAAAAAATTAGAAAACTGGTTAACAGTTTCAAGACTAACCCTTTTGCAAAGCGCGCAAACATTTAAAGACTTTCTCATAGTTTTGTTGTAAAAGTTTGAAATAAACATGGTTTTCATTCTTTCAAAGCACAAAAAGTGCCCAACCGACCTGAAACTCAACAAAAAAACAAATTTTATTGCTTAGACAATGAAACTTATATCAAGTAAAATCATCAGCAAATTCCTGGTACCGTCTATTATATTATCAAATTTAGAGGAAAAGCAGATAAGAAATTTAAATGACATGTTTGCTAAAAAAGTTTTGATTTGGCAAGCTATTTGCAGTTGTGGCAAAAAATCAGCACCTAATATTTCTCAGTCCACACTTTTTACCTCTCATTAAATCACATGATAAGAGACCTGGATTCTGGCCAGATTTAGCTTAAATTCATTATTGTAAACTAGCTTCAGAATGGTATAAAAATAATAATGTGAAAAAAAAAAAAAAAAAAAAAACTTTGCAGAAATATTAAAGATATTGAAATACCATTTAAAAAAGCATCAAATAGCTTCAATTCTTATTCTGTGCACAAGCTTATGGGTACCACCAAAGCAAAAGTTCAAAATTTGATTAGATTCCCACAGGAATAATTTGATTTTTTTTTTTAATATTTGATCTTCTTATATTATTGCATTAAAAATATTACTTGGTTGGAAATAAAAACTGAAGAGCTTTTTTTTTTAGTTGTTTTTCTACTTTCACATTTATTTTGTGTACACGCTTTATTTTCCTTCATCAAATGTGTAAATATTAGTCTTTTTTTATCTGATTTTGTAGAATTCAAAGAAATGGTTCAAAATTGCCACTATATTGTCTCCTACTTCATCATAGCAACTCTTAATCGTTATTTTTTTTCCTTCTATTAAACACTGGGCAAAGTTTAGCTCAAGTTGATTGCACATTTTTATTACTTCGTTGATAACATCTTTAGTAACATCACATATAAAAGTTTATAGAAGTTGTAAAGTATTGAAAGTTAATCATAAACTCAAAACAAAGATTTTTATATTTTGCTCTTTTTTAAAAATAATGAAATAAAGCAAAATTAATGGTAGGTGTGGAATAGACTTACCATGACAAGTAATACATTAATATTCAATAATAATTAAACGGGTCATGGTAAGTTTGTTATTCCACATATTTAAGTCATCTCATGTTTTTTTAAATTTTTTATACCAATTGTATTTAATTAACACATTTCAAGTGGGTATTCTTAATATTATTTAGACTGGTACTGATATCCAATTCGCTGATAAATAGCAGTTCGCGCAATGTCTACTGAAACATAAATTTTTTAAAAGTTTAGTTTATATATATGTATTTAATTATTTTTCTATCTCTTACCAAAATATATTGAAGTAAGGAATAAGTATAGAAAAGGTCAGTGTGGAATAGATTTACTAAGACCCGTATTTTATGGGTCATGACAGCTAGTATACATTAGTTATCAGTTATTTAATAATATTATTCAATAAAATATACTTTTAATTTTAGTATTAACAGTCTTGTATATACACTTTGCTTTTAGTACTAAAATTTAAAGTAAATTTCTATAGATTAATAATGCAATAAACTAAAAATTTCCAGATTTTGTTAAAAGAAATGATATAAAACTATTAAACAACAAAAATTTTTACCATATTGATCAATTTCAGCTTCAAAACCCATAAACCATCCTTGATGATCAACATTAGATGCATGAAAATGTATCTTTACTCGCTCTGAATTAATTACTAACTTTCCAGGATTATTTGAACCACAAAATCTCCCTACAAAACTTTCTGCAGTCCCAAGGTCTTTATGAATTTCAACATAATCCAAACATCCTTCTTCATTGTCAAGCTCTCTAAGTGAGAAAAATCCAAACTCAATTTTAGTTTGCATACCAGGTTGAGCTTCAACATTCCATACACAATCAGTATTCAGTTGATAGCCAAAAGGAAACTGTGGTGAGTGAATTATTGCTGGAACCTGTTTAATAAGTTGTGAACAAGCTAAACAAAAACAATTTAAAAGTAGAAATAAATATTTGTTAACAATAACCTTTTATAATAAAAATCTTGATAAAACATTTTAGTACTTACTAGTATTAATTGAAACAAAAATGCTTATAGCGTGGATAAAAATAGTGTGAATTGTCAAAATCGCATTAGAAGCGTTTTGTTACAAATTTGAGTAGCACAAAAGAAGCAATTGCATAGCTTATTGAGTTTCAAGTTATATCTTTAAGTTCTTTTTAATAATTTAAAAAGTGACTTTAATTTAAAAAAATTTAACACAAAAACCATCATTACCACTAAATTGATTAAATCTTTGATAAATATTTGTGATTAAAGCAACTTTTTATCTGAAGAATCCTACCTCATTCAAAATTTACCTGCTCTTTGTAAGAATAGTTTAAATCTGATTATTTCATCTTTTAAAATTAGTGTTGATAATTATAATTCTTTGACTCTTTGACTCTTTTTTATTTAGCATGTGAACTACTGAACTCATTTTACTCAAATTACTAAACAAAATTAATTATTTTTATTTAAAATTAATTACTAATAAAATTTTATTTTAGTAATTAGGTTCTCAAGACTCAGGAAAATTTTTAACGGTGTCATTAACAAAAACAAGTCTGACATTCCATCTCTCATAAATGAATCTCATGTCTGATCTTATCGCTCTCAAAAAATAAGATAAAATGAGTAGCAAAAAACATTTCCTTTTTACTCATATCTAGAACCTATAAAGCCATACTTTTCCTGACACCTCAGAGCAACAGATTAATCCATTTCTAAATATCCAAACCACTCAGCCTTACATTGCTAACGTTATTTTTGACTTTTATAGCTTTTAGTCTTGACGACATCCCCTACCACAGCCTTACAATATTGTTCTCCAGAATGCTCTTCAATGCTATCTAAGCTATTTAATAACTACTTAACTAAATCTTGTTTTCTGGACCTTAACATTTTCCATACCTACTCTAAAATTCAATACTATATTCCTGTTTGATCTGGATTGTCATTTACTACTAACCTTTTATAAAAACCACTGTAAATTCAGCAACTAAGCAAGTTAGCAACTAAGCCTTTAAGCTTAACTTTGCTATTTCCTTACTCCTCATTCTCTCCAAATCAAATTTAAACTTAAAAATCAAAATAAAAAATTTTAAATCCAAATTTATCCTTGTACCTTTTTAACTATTAAATTGAAACTAGTTTTCTTTTACAAAAAGTAACTATAATCTACATTGATATTTTTGTTCTATTATGAGTTGCCATCTTACTTTCATAATGGCTGATTCATTAAATTTCTGATCTTTTGAAGAAGTTCTTCCAGGTATGTTTTAACTTGTTCGTCTGATGTAAATATTTTTCCAGCTAGAGAATTTTGTAATGAATGAAACAGATGGTAATCTGATGGTGAATAATCAGGGCTTTGAGGTGGGTGAAGTAGTAGGTCCCAGTCAAATTTGGGCTGGTACTTCTAATTATATACTTTCTCTTTTAGACAGTATCCAAAAATGAATTTTAAATGCAGTTGGATTAGCTCTAGCTGCGAAGCTTGAGCCTCTGTCCCATCATCATAATTTCTATTTCTCTTTTTTTTATCTCTTTCTTTTTTTACAATTACTATTACTTATTATATATATATATATATATATATATATATATATATATATATATATATATATATATATATATATATGATAATAATAAAAACAATTTTATTAAATAAATTGAAATTAAAAAATAAATAAAAAAGATATAAATAGTAAAATTTAATTACAGCTTTTACTTACTGTTAACAATTTTTTCGAACAATTTAAAAAAAAGCTGTGTATAATTAGTTATTAGTAAATATAAAAAAAACTTTTTTATTGAAAAACTCAAACTCACTGTCAGTTTTAAAGCTAACATTGAAACCAATATTTTCTGAATAACTTTTTAAATTTTTCCCAGATATATGAAGTCGAATGTATAAACTTCCAGCAAGAGTTGTAATTGGTGCAGGTTTCCGTTGTCCACAATATCTTACAATAAAAGGAGACAAAAAACCTTTTCCTTCGCGTACTTCTAAATAATCGTCTTCACAATTTCCTGTTTGATCATGGCTAGGTTTTCCAACACTAAAATCATTAAAAATTACAGTAAGCGAAGAACGACTATTAAATTTTATTGCTGTTGTAATAATCCAGACACAATCTTTGTTCATTTCTTGTTGGTATCTATTAGGATATGATGCAAACGAACCACTGGTTGCAAAAATTGTTCCACCACACTCTAAAGAAAAATTCTGTAAACATTTTTTATGATAAACAAAAATTCTTTGTTTAATAAGCCAAAAAGAAAACACTTTTTTTTGTTTCAGTGACACTGAAAGTTCTCAGAGACACTGTTTTAACACTGTTTTAACTTAACACTGCTTTGTTTAATTAACTATACATTGTTTGATTAAAATCTTAAATAATCTAATTGAGTAACTAAGTTGTCAGACATTTTGTTGGTTAAAATGGCCAATGACTTTAATGATACTCAACCAGACATTTTGAGATTTAAGCCAGAAAATATTTAATGTTTAACTGTTGAAATGTGCCTTGAATAATAAAGTTTACCTGTTAGCTTAGTACATCTATATAAAAGATTCGTTTCCAAAATATCTTGAGGACTTAAAACAGGACCTTTATATTTAAAGTAAGACATTCCAATTTCATTTGTTTCAGCATTTTCTGGAGCCTTACTCAGAATAGTTTTACCACCATTTTTTGTGAAAAAATTATTCCCATAATGCATAATTGAATGAAAGTCATAAACCTAAGAGAAAAAACCCTGCTATATAAAAGTGGTTTTTTTCATTATTTTTTCTAGAATCTAGAAAACTGTGTAGATTGAAGTTTTAAAAACCAAAGGCGCAAAATGTATTAGAGCCTGAAGTAGTAAGTGCATATATATATATATATATATATATATATATATATATATATATATATATATATATATATATATATATATATATATATATATATATATATATATAGAATAAAAGTCTAACCTGATCAAATGTTTTCACTTTATTATATATATATATATATATATATATATATATATTTATATATATAAATACATATATATATATATATATATATATATATATATATATATATATATATAGAATAGAAGTCTAACCTGATCAAATGTTTTCACTTCATTATATATATATATATATATATATATATATATATATATATATATATATATATATATATATATATATATATATATATTTATATAAATATGTATGTATATATATATATACATATATATATATATATATATATATATATATATATATATATATATATATATATATATATATATATATATATATATATATATATATATAGAATAAAAGTCTAACCTGATCAAATGTTTTCACTTTATTATATATATATATATATATATATATATATATATTTATATATATAAATACATATATATATATATATATATATATATATATATATATATATATATATATATATATATATATATATATATATATATATATATATATATATATATATATATAGAATAAAAGTCTAACCTGATCAAATGTTTTCACTTCATTAAGATTTCTAGGGTCAAAATTAAATGACTTGGAACTATCCATATTTTCATAAATAACATCAATATATATAGAACGATCTGGACGATTTTGCTCATGCCAAAATCCAATTACATGTCCAAGTTCATGGGTTATTATACCAAAACGTATACATCCTGTACCAAGAGACAAGAACTGTTTGCCTCCACGTCGACCAACATAACTGCAGCAACTATGTATGTATAATACAATACAGGTATCATATATAAGTGTGTGTATGTGTGTGTGTGTATATATATATATATATATATATATATATATATCGGAGCTTGTTTTTAAGCTGCCGGCAATTAACGTATGAATTGCGTACACCTAGAGCAATTTGCATGAAGCAACTTTTGATATTTTTTTAACTTTTAAATTACTCTTAAGTTGTAAGATTAAAGAAGTAATTAACTTTATAAAAAACCACTTTGACGATTATGTAAAAAAGTTTGAATGACAATTATGTTAGATGTAAGGGCTATTTACTAATGAAAAAAACTAAAATCGCCATTTACTAATGAAAAAGATTAACAAATACAAAAACTTAATCTCTATTAAGCTAATAATTTTATTGAACAGAAAACAAAATTGTTTATAGTAACGATTATTGTTTTGTTTTTTATGCGAAGTTATTTAAAAAATAAAAGCAAACATAAAAGAAATATATTTAGTAAAAACTTTTATTTATTATCTTGAGAGGACAAGAATTGTTTATGTAACTTTTGATTGCTTAGAAAAAATTTACTTAAATTTCTAATCTATAGTAATATATAATTATATGTAATGATCGATTTTTGCTTTAAGCTTGAAGCAAAGATAATTATAACGTAATTTATTTCTGATAAAAAAATTAATGATTTAATTCAAAATTAATTACAAAAATTATACAAAAATATATAATTTTATTCAGATAAAAAAAAATTAATTTAATTCAGATTTAAAAAATAAATAATTAAATTTTGATTCAAAAAATATATTTAAGTTTATTTAAATTAAAGTCAATGCTTGGGTTTAACTTAACTGTCATATTTTTATTTAATATTACTAAATATTATTCAACATTTGAATTTAATTTGTTTTTAAAAGAAAAATAGCTCACTTTTATCGCAATTGTTTTTTCGGTTTTCCTTCCAAAACATTTTTTTATTACTTAAAATGCATTGAAAATTTGCACAAAATGTAAGTTGAACTTTTTTTTATATATATATGGCAAGTTAAATTGCAGCGATTATTTTTTAATAAATGTTGTTTGGAAAAATAATCTTTGCTTTCACAACAAAATCGTTTATAAAATAATAAACTTTTAATAAATAAAAGTAGATAAATTAAGATATTTGTTTTGTATCTTACTCGCTAATTTTTTTAAAAATCTTTTTTAGTTTTATGTATAGGCATTGGAAGGAATGACAAGCTATAAGCTAATGACGTTTTATAGCGGTTTATTTATGTTGACTTTCAAACTAATTTTTCAAATAAGATAACAACTAGTTAACTTTAGATTTTTTTATTATTTTTATATATTTTCATATAAAATATCTACCCTAGCTTGAAGCAACTTATTTATAAAATTTGCTAAACTGCTAATATACACTAAATAAATTTAAGAAAATTAAAAAGGTTTTTTAGAGTTATAGTTTTTATTTTAAACTATTATATACTTATTCTCAGATAAAATAAGTATATCAATTTTTATATAACTATTTTTATAAATTTAAATAATTTTATATTCTCAGGAAAAATTTAAGTATTCAATGTTTGGCGCCTTCGAAGCATTACCGCCTGGGTGAAAATCACCCATATATATATATATATATATATATATATATATATATATATATATATATATATATATATATATATATATATATATATATATATATATATATATATATATAATTTGTAACTGTTCATGTTTAAAATGCTTTGATAATGTTGTCAAGGAAGAAAGAAAAAGAATAATAAATGAATTCAATTGTATGCAATCTTTGACAAGCAAAGCAACTACCTCAGTGGCCTAATCACCATACTCCCAATTGATCAGACAATGGTACTCCTCCATGATCAGACAATGGTACTTGTAATATTGCATGTTGTAAGAAAAGTGATAATTATGAGGACGTTTAATTGAGCTTCGAGCTATACATGGCATAACCAGCCGTAGGGTTCAAAATATCCAGTAAGCATTAAAGGAAACAGGTGTGTTGCCAACTGGTAATTTTCTGCGATTCCTGCAGTGGGCAGAATAAAAACTACACCGTTTTATGCTATTTCTACTATCTTGTAACAGAAAAAAAGAAGATTTGAGTGTGTGAAAGTTTTCTTCCCTGTTTGTGGGCATTTGTATCTGGGGTGCAACAAAAATATGAGTTTGATTAATCAGAATTCCTAAGTTGAATTGCCTGAAGAATGGAGAGAAATAATAAGAAATTCAAGAACAAAGCCGTTTCATGTCATTGATTGCGATCATGGATTTTTTATATCATGGACAGAATTTTGAAACCTCTGTATATGACTAAATGTCAATTTCCCACTAGGGCTATTCGATGTCTCAAAATTCTGCAAACTGACCAATCATTCATTTCATAGCGGGAAACATTTTTTAGAGCTATTTTAAAGGAAATGTCATGTAGGAACCTCCAGCAAAGGGCAAGAAGAAAGGGATGAAACCACCCACAAAATGTCAGCTTACCAACTCATACAATGCTCGTCTTCCAGTAAATAGTGCTAAATATAATGACTTGAAACATTTGACAAATTTTTTCATTAATCCAAAAGCATTTAACTTTTACATGAAACTTCCAAAAATAGAAAACTCTTCAGAGGTAAAGCTGAAGATATCTTTTTTGATTATGAGATAGGCCTATATGAATAATTAGCCTACTTCTGGTTTTATTGTAACAGGTGTTTCTTATGTAGGTACTAAACAGAGTAATATTGTTTATGTACCGTAATAATTTATAATTCTAAAAATAAAATGTTAATCTTTTTTTAGTAAACCTATCAAAAATTGCCAAAATATTTTATTATTTCTTTCTTTCTCTTATTTAATATTTACCATACTAGTGATTACATTATGTTTCATGTTTCTTAAATTGTACTGAGACTCATTATTACAATTGATTCACATATTTTGTTTTATTATTAACCTTAATACTCAATTTTATTGACTTTTTTGTACATTATTTGATAAAGGCTACTTTAATGGCAATATAACCTAAATTTTATGCTTTTGTATTATAAACATGACTTTTTATGAGACTGTAAACTTTGTTTTGCATTTTACAGAAAATTAGTAAATTATGACTCTCATCGTTCCCCCCCCCTCCATCCTTCATACACACACACACACACATATATATATATATATATATATATATATATATATATATATATATATATATATATATATATATATATATATATATATATATATATGGTCAGGTCAGGTTTTCCCCAGGTCAGGTCAGGTTTTCCTGCTACTGGTAACATTTTTTTTTTTTTTTTTTAAACATCTTCACTTCCAACAAGGCTGCAAGCAACCACTATAAGAGTTGGAAGTTAGTGGAAGAGAAAAGACTAAATCTGTAGAGCAAGATAACGATTGACTGATGACTTAAAAGATTGCAAATTATATGAATCAGGGAAGCAAGATGAAGGAAGCGAATTCCAAAGAACTGATGTTCGAGGAAAAAAACTAGAAGAATAAGAGTTTTTGAAGCACTTAGGAACAGTCACAGAAAAAGGATGAGACTTAATTGAATGGCGAGTAACACGAGAATGAATTTTAGTAGATGGCACAAGGGACGCTAGCTCTTTAGAGCAGTGCCCATTATAGTATTTGTAGAAAAGAGAAAGAGAAGCAACATTACGACGATGTGACAAAGGTTGGAGATTGGCTGCCAGAGCAGGTCATTTATAGAGATAGAGAATAGAATCTGGAGTAAGAAAGTGTCGAGCTCGATAAAGAGATGCAACCTTAGCAGATGCTAATTTTGCAATGGATTTGATATACGGTTTAAAAGAAAGATCAGAAGTAAGAGTTAATCCTAGAAGATGAATGGTAGATGACTCATCTAGTACATTACCATTCATAAATATAGGAAGATCTAAATTATTACGATAACGATTGGCCGAATAAAATTGAGTTTTATCTGAATTAAAGTTCACCAGCCACTGTGAGCCCCATGCTGTAGCAGAAGTGAGATCCTTTTCAAGCTCAGATACCCCCTCCAAGCAATCAGAGAGTGTAGGCTTCTTATCATGACAAGAGTAAATGGTAGTGTCGTCAGCGAATAATGCCACCTTAGATGTGAGAATATCTGGAAGATCGTTAATGTAAATTAAAAAGAGTATAGGGCCAAGGATTGAACCTTGAGGAACCCCTGAAGTTACAGGATGTGAAGAAGAGTGTTGTCCATCGAGGACAACTTTTATACTACGATTGGAAAGAAAGGACTCAATAATCTTAAAGACGTTACCAGCTACACCATAAGAAGAAAGCTTATGGAGAAGACCAGCATGCCAAACTTTATCAAAAGCTTTAGAAATGTCAAGTGCGATAGCCTTAACCTCTCCACCTCTATCTAATGCACGGTAAAACCTATCGGTTATTACTGTTAGCACATCAGCTGTAGAACGAGAAGAACGAAATCCATATTGATGATCAGAAAGTAAGTTATTTGATTCAAGATGAGAGATTAAGTGTTTGTTGATTAAAGATTCAAAAACCTTGCTTATGACAGGAAGAAGACTAATGGGACGGTAGTTAGATGAATCAGATCGCTCTCCGGAATTTTTGAAAATAGGGATAACAGATGCTGCTTTCCAGCATGATGGAAAACAAGACTCTGATAAGCACTTGTTAAATAGTTTAGAAAGTATGGATGAAAGCTCCGGAGAACACCTCTGCAAGACTACAACAGGAATGTTGTCAGGACCACAAGCTGTTGAAGAGTCTAAGCAGGAAATTACTTTTGATACAGAAGCTGAAGTGATGCGAATGTCAAGCAAGGGATCAACCTGTTTGACGGCTATGTCAGGTAAAACGCAACTAGTGGAATCAAGAGATGATATTGATGAAAAGTTCTTAGCAAACAATTCAGCTTTGTCTTTAGGTGAGGTGACAAAGTCTGAACCATACAAGAGAAAAGGAATAACAGATTTGCCCTTATTATTGATACTGTTAAAAATTCTCCAGAAGTCTCGAGAGCCTAATTTTTGTGATGAGATGCATCCAGCTGCTGTCTTGTAGAAGGCCTCCTAGGCAAAGACTTAAGGGGTAAACAGATTCTATCTGTTGACCAGCCTCGCACCCCTTCCTCATCTATTAGGCTGGCACAGATGTATTTTTAATACATTGTTTCCAGTTTAGGATGTTGAACGCTGGATCTTCTTGACTCAATGCGTGGGTATTGCTTGTGTCTCTATTTTTATGACTGGGCAACTCATTCTATTATCTCCTAATGAGGGTACAGCTCTAAAACTCAGTTTTATGGTTCTGAGGCCGGCTGGTAGTCAGGTTTCCCGAACTCTGTGGTAGCTCTCAGAGAGGCTGATTCCATCAACAGCCGAAAAATATCAGAGTACTAACAGTGCCATGTTGCGCATGGATGGTGTCCCTGTTTGTACTTTTGGTGTGCATTGCAGAGGCCACATTTGGAGCCCTTTGTTACGGCTTAGGGTTTATTAATAGTAATGAGGCTATTGCTTAGTTGTTAAATAGTGTACTGAGTACTATCTATACTTGAGTCAAGTTCTTTATAAATTTAAAATGACTAAAGTACCTAAAACTAAAAAACACAAAAAACCATCGTCATCACCAAGTTCTCTAAACCTATCATTTACTAATATTCGTGGTCTTCGAAGTAACTTTTCTTCTGTTGAGTCTTATCTCTTGCAAAGTTCACCAGACCTACTTGCTCTTTGTGAGACTAATTTGAGTTCGGCTGTCCCATCTTGTGATCTTAGTGTTGATGGTTATCTTCCTTTAATTTGTAAAGACTCCAATAATCACATGCTTGGCCTGGGCATCTACATTCGTAAGAACTCACCCATTTGTCGTGAAACTAGGTTTGAATCTACAGACTATTCATTTATGTGCTTTCGTTTAGCACAACTTCACTCTATCGCCTTTCTCTTTGTTCTATATCGCTCTCCTTCATCCCAAGATTGCACTATTCTTGATGTTATTTCTGATCAAATTGACCAAGCCCTCTCTCTTTATCCATCGGCCAATATCGTCGTTGTTGGTGACTTTAATGCCGATCACACTGATTGGCTCGGCTCTAGTGTCAGTGACTCTGCTGGCGTTAAGGCCCTCAACTTTTGCCTTTCTCAATCTCCAACTCAAATAGTCAACTTTCCAACTCATTTTCCAGACAACCCTAATCATTTACCTTCTCTACTCGACTTATGTCTTGTTTTGGATCCTAGTCAGTGCTCAATTTCTCCACATTCACCCTTAGGTACTTCTGATCACGGTTTGATCTCTCTAAAACTATTATCAAATTCTTCTACTTCATCAGAATCCCCCTATCATCGTACCACATACAACTACCTTAAAGCTGACTGGGACTCTTTCCGTGATTTTCTTCGTGATGGCCCTTGGGTAGAAATATTTCGTCTTCCTGCTGACAAATGTGCTTCTTACATAACTTCGTGGATTCAGGCTGGCATGGAATCTTTTATTCCCTCTCGACGATTCCAGGTCAAGCCTCACTCTTCTCCTTGGTTTTCCTCACATTGCGCTGCAGCAATTTCTAATCGAAACCGTTACTTCCATATCTATCAGCAAAATAATTCTCCAGAAAACAGACATCTGTTCACTATCGCCAGAAACCATTGTAAAAAGGTTTTGTCTGACGCCAAAGCTCGCTATTCCCAGGTCATCAAATCTCGTATCTCATCACAAAAATTAGGCTCTCGAGACTTCTGGAGAATCTTTAACAGTACAATAATAAGGGCAAATCTGTTATTCCTTCTCTCTTGTATGGTTCAGACTTTGTCACCTCACCTAAAGACAAAGCTGAATTGTTTGCTAAGAACTTTTCATCAATATCATCTCTTGATTCCACTAGTTGCGTTTTACCTGACATAGCCGTCAAACAGGTTGATCCCTTGCTTGACATTCGCATCACTTCAGCTTCTGTATCTAAAGTAATTTCCTGCTTAGACTCTTCAACAGCTTGTGGTCCTGACAACATTCCTGTTGTAGTCTTGCAGAGGTGTTCTCCGGAGCTTTCATCCATACTTTCTAAACTATTTAACAAGTGCTTATCAGAGTCTTGTTTTCCATCATGCTGGAAAGCAGCATCTGTTATCCCTATTTTCAAAAATTCCGGAGAGCGATCTGATTCATTTAACTACCGTCCCATTAGTCTTCTTCCTGTCATAAGCAAGGTTTTTGAATCTTTAATCAACAAACACTTATTCTCTCATCTTGAATCAAATAGCTTACTTTCTGATCATCAATATGGATTTCGGTCTTCTCGTTCTACAGCTGATGTGCTAACAGTAATAACCGATAGGTTTTACCGTGCATTAGATAGAGGTGGAGAGGTTAAGGCTATCGCACTTGACATTTCTAAAGCTTTTGATAAAGTTTGGCATGCTGGTCTTCTCCATAAGCTTTCTTCTTATGGTGTAGCTGGTAACATCTTTAAGATTATTGAGTCCTTTCTTTCCAATCGTAGTATAAAAGTTGTCCTCGATGGACAACACTCTTTTTCACATCCTGTAACTTCAGGGGTTCCTCAAGGTTCAATCCTTGGCCCTATACTCTTTTTAATTTACATTAACGATCTTCCAGATATTCTCACATCTAAGGCGGCATTATTCGCTGACGACACCACCATTTACTCTTGTCATGATAAGAAGCCTACACTCTCTGATTGCTTGGAGGGGGTATCTGAGCTTGAAAAGGATCTCACTTCTGCTACAGCATGGGGCTCACAGTGGCTGGTGAACTTTAATTCAGATAAAACTCAATTTTATTCGGCCAATCGTTATCGTAATAATTTAGATCTTCCTATATTTATGAATGGTAATGTACTAGATGAGTCATCTACCATTCATCTTCTAGGATTAACTCTTACTTCTGATCTTTCTTTTAAACCGTATATCAAATCCATTGCAAAATTAGCATCTGCTAAGGTTGCATCTCTTTATCGAGCTCGACACTTTCTTACTCCAGATTCTATTCTCTATCTCTATAAATGACCTGCTCTGGCAGCCAATCTCCAACCTTTGTCACATCGTCGTAATGTTGCTTCTCTTTCTCTTTTCTACAAATACTATAATGGGCACTGCTCTAAAGAGCTAGCGTCCCTTGTGCCATCTACTAAAATTCATTCTCGTGTTACTCGCCATTCAATTAAGTCTCATCCTTTTTCTGTGACTGTTCCTAAGTGCTTCAAAAACTCTTATTCTTCTAGTTTTTTTCCTCGAACTTCAGTTCTTTGGAATTCGATTCCTTCATCTTGCTTTCCTGATTCATATAATTTGCAATCTTTTAAGTCATCAGTCAATCGTTATCTTGCTCTACAGATTTAGTCTTTTCTCTTCCAGTAACTTCCAACTCTTATAGTGGTTGCTTGCAGCCTTGTTGGAAGTGAAGATGTTAAAAAATATATATATATATATATATATATATATATATATATATATATATATATATATATATATATATATATATATATATATATATATTAAAAATACATTATTTTTATATATATAAAAATTTTAAAAAAATGTAATTAAAAATTTACCCATTTCCCTTATAAATATAAACATAATCATATTCATTGGTTCGGTTTAAAAACTTTACACAAGTTTCATTCTCCCAATGATTCATGGCTTCTCTAATAAGACCATTGACAACACCTACAATAATAATTTTAGTATAATATATAAAGCATTGGCAAAAAAAACGAAAAAAAGAATATAGAAATATCTACAAAATGGTGATAACCAAATTTGACTCTTAAGAGCTACATCATTTAATTCAGTTCCCACAATTAAGCTATATTTATTTAAAAATTATTATTGACTTTAGATAAACAAAACAATATTTGAATTAGTGAATTATTGTATAAGGGTGCAAACTATAATAATAGCAAACTATATAAATACACTAAAAACTTTCTAAATGCAATTTTTTAATAAACTGCCATACTTGAAAAACCACTATCAATAACAAACGGTATTCGTCCTTCAGGCCAAGATTTCATTGTTGCTGCACGTTTCATACGACTTTTTCTTTTAGTTGTTTTTGCTTCAGGTATTGGTGCATCAAGATAATATCCTTCAAAAAAATTTAAATTAATTCTTAATTAATAGCGTTTTTGTTTTTTAAAAATATTTTTTTTAAACATGCACAGTGTTGCTACAACAATCTTGTATATATATATATATATATATATATATATATATATATATATATATATATATATATATATATATATATATATATATATATATATATATATATATATATATATATATACAAGAAGAGACCTCTTATTTAGCGGGGAGGTACAAGACTTGTATCTCCCTGTTAAATAAGAGGGATTCCTCTTTTATTCACTATGCATTGTAAAATCTCTTTTTCAGTGATTACCATATGGCAACCTTATGTGTAATGCATTTAAACATATATATATGTTTAAATGCATTACACATAAGGTTGCCATATGGTAATCACTGAAAAAGAGATTTTACAATGCATAGTGAAAAAAAGAGGAATCCCTCTTATTTAACAGGAAGATACAAGTCTTGTACCTCCCCGCTAAATAAGAGGTCTCTTCTTGTAACAAGAGGGACTTCTTTTATAAAAATTAAATAAATAAAGACCCTTTTATTTACATGTAAATTTGTTGTTGTTTTTTAATATAAATTGTTGGTTTTGTGATTAAAATTATCCTAATTTTAATCACAAAACATTCATATTCAAACTTATTGCTGTCTAACAATTAGTGAACAAGATATACCCTTAATAATTCATAAAATTCTTATTGTATATTAAAATATACCATTTTTAAAAACTTACAAAAGATATAATCTGTATGTTGCAAGTCATGCATTAATTTTCCATTATATAATTAGTCCTAATTAATCACTTGTATCTAACTAATCACTTGTATCAGTTATCAGTATCACTGATTTCAGAACAATCATTTGTAAGAACAGGGCAAGAACTGTAAACAGGAGAAGATGAATCATACCAATAATGCTATTTGTTGAACCATCTTTTTCAATGACTTAGTTTGATAACAGATACTTATGGAACGCATGACAGGATTATGATTTGATATTATATTTTACACATAAAATACTTTTAACTGGCTCTACTGACAATCTATTTCTTCCATTTATCTGTTGTTCAACAATTTGTATATTGATCAGCAATAAGCGATAACATGTTAATAAGCCTTGAAATGAAATAAAAAGAATGCACTATTTTCAACAGTTCAGAACCACAAGATTTATCAGGTAGGTTACTAAAATACTTTACCGAAATATAGTTAGAAAGTTTTAACTTGTAAATTTTAACTTGTGTGATTTAAGCTTTTTTCTTAGTGTTTTTCTTTACATATTCCACCTCTTCTTTGTGACTTTTTAAAAAATTAACAAAGTTAGAAAATTGGTCATAGCACAATGATTCATTAACTTGAAAAGGGGTTTTTTCATTTACAATTTGTAAATTGAGCATTCAGATACAGGGATACAGCTTAGTTACTTCCAACAAACGGAAAGCTTTTAACTGTTGGTAATTGGGATATATAAATCAAAGGTTACGCAACTTGCGTAACCTCTGATCTATCTTTGCATAAGCGCGAATTGGTATATGCGAACTGGCATAAGTGCGCCAAACATTTTGCAAACATTGGCATAAATGCGAATTGGAAAAAGTGCGAACTGGCATAAGTGCGAAGCAGTTGCAAAAACTGGCACAAGTGCGAACTGGCATAAGTACGAATTGGCATAAGTGTGCCAAACAAATTTGCAAACATTGGCATTAGTGCAATTTTTGCACTTATGTCAATTCGCAGTTATGCCAGTTCGCACTTATGCCAGTTTTTGTAACTGCTCCGCACTTATGCCAGTTCGCACTTGTGCCAGCTTTTGTAACTGATTTGCATTTATGCCAGTTAGCATATATGCCAATTCGCACTTATGCCAATGTTTGAAAAATGTTTTGGTGCACTTATGCTAAATCGCACATATGCCAGTTCACGCTTCGCACTTATGCCAGTTCGCACGTATGCCATTTCGCGCTTATGCCACTTCGCGCTTACGCTATTCGCACTTATGCCAGTTCGCACTTATGAAATTAAATGCGCTTATTCAGTTTTCCCATCTTTATAAGGACGTATTGATAGATATAATTATAAGTCAACAAGTCCTTGATTAGATAAATAATATTAACATAAGTAAATTTGTTTAACTTTGTGAGAAACAGAAATATATGTTTTTTGAAGTACATTTAGAGGCGATTTTAAGGGTGGAAGAGGTGTGGGGGTCACACTCAGTTGAAAATCACCTTCGTGGGGGAATCACCCCCTCCTTAATTTTATTCGTAGAATCGCCTTTGAGTACATTTTTAGAAAGTGCAGCTATTATTCTACTTTTTTAAACTTTAAATTCAAGAAATAATCTCTTTTGCATCAGCAACCGAAATACTTTATAACTTTAATGTTTAATGTGTGACCTTCGTTTTTTGAAGTTTGGATGCGCGCGGATTTTTAAATATTATGTAATGGAGAGAAGATTGTTTAAACATTCTCAATAAATTGTTTAAGTGACTAAAAAAATTTTACATTTAACAATTTTCACATTCTCAATATACTCCGAATTTAAATATTTATCATGGAATTTTTATAGAAATCTCCAAAAAGAAGAGATTTTATGTTTTTCTCGGAAAATCTGGTGATATGGGAACCCTAATTACACATATATTTCTCAGACAATCTTGATGATAAAATAAACCAATAGTACCAATGAAATCAGAATACTAAAATTATGTTAGAAACATTTAAAAGTTAACATAAACAAAAATTGTGTTATTTGCCTCAATTTTATAAAACAAAAAAACAATAAGATAAAATTCTAGTGAGACTTAACACTTTAATAGAATTCTAACAATTTAAATTAGTACAGTTATTTATTCTATCATTATTCAGGTTACTGATTCGGTATATAGTTTTGGTATTTGATATTTTTGGAATTTTTTTTATAAACAGTCGCACATAAATACAGCAAACCTTTTTATATTTGGAGATTTTATTTTAACTAATATATTGTGCAAGGTTTCAAACCACTTGTATCACTTGCAATTTCTTTATTTTAGTGCAGCATTTACATAAATACAACAATTAACACGCTAAACAAAAAAATGTAACAGGAAAGAGACAAGCACTAAATCATTATACTGCATTTTTCTGACGTTTTTGAAAAATTTATTGAGTGATTAAGGTGATAAGTTATTAAGGTACTTTTGCATGTTTAATACAAGGAAGGTTGGGTGGGATAGAAATAAAAGTAAGGTGTGTGAATTTTAGTAATAATAATAAACAAATGGGTCTTAATAAAAGCATGGTGGGAATTTTTTACAGAACAATTTAACTATTGTGTGTCAAATAAACAGCGCTTATTTTAGCAACTGTTTTTGTTGCGTTAGTTCGCTAACGCAGCAGCCAGTTTAACTTCCTTCGCATTTGCCAGCGAAAACAGTTTTTTTTGTTAGTAACAAGTAAAAATTATTTAACAATGGATGGGGGGAGGCGTCTAATAAGCTTGGGGTGGGTAAAAAAAATTTCCAAAAATTGTTTTATTTTTTGTTTATAAATTGGAATTTTTCATCTTTTACAAACTTAAACTTATGCGGGAACAATACTTGTGGTATATATGCCCAAGATGCACTACCAAGCAAACATTTTTCAAGTGGATTTGTAGTGGGTCAATACAGACATTTTAGGCGGTTGATCGGATTTTTGCTCATTGGTTACTTAGTGAACCACTTGTTGCATCTGCTATAAGTGAATATCTTTTCAATATGCTATATATTGGCGAGTCATCGGCTAGCCACTTTTAAGCAGCCGTGGCGCAGCGTTTAGAGTTCTGAAGCAGAACCAAAAGATCTGAGGAAAGGTACCGTTCCGGCCATTGGTAAATAAGTAAGAGTGAAGTCTTTAGTTAAATTTTCTTCCGCAGTGTTCTTTATGGTGCTTCAAGAAGATCGAAAGGACTTCTACAACTACAATAACAAAACAACAACAACAACAACAACAACAACAACAACAACAACAATAACAACAACAACAACAACAACAACAACAACAACAACAACAACAACAACAACAACAACAACAACAACAACAACAACAACAACAACAACAACAACAACAACAACAACAACAACAACAACAACAACAACAAAAAGTCTATTTAAGTCCACTGAAAGTCCGCTATAAACTGGGTAAAGATTTTATAAAGAATATCTCAATATATTTTATATAACTGAAATAGTAACAATCTATAATTATTTTACTGTTCATTTCATCAGCACTTAATGCTTTATTTTTTTTTTAAGTGATTTAAAGATTCTATCAAGCCTATGATTCAAATAAAAACTTTTTATTATAATGAGAATTATCTAAAGAACATAAAAGCCTTCTAATGTCATTCTCTGTCATAAAAGTTCTATTAGAAAAAATTTAACTTTAGTAAAAGTTTTAACTTCAGTAAATTTTTATAAATTTTTCCATTTACAAAAGATTTTTTCTTTAAAATATTTTATGTGATAAGCATGTTTTTTATATATATTACACATTTATTATATTAATATTTATCCGTACTTGATTACCAGCCAAAACATTGACAGTAAATTAATAAAACTTTTTCTTAACGTTTTTAAAATTTATCTTTAGAATTTTAGATCAAGATTAGACCGTGAGAAATATTTTTTAACAATAAGCATCACCACGGACGTCTCTTTCACGTCTTATGACGAACCGATATTTAACTATGAGTTAAATCTATAGTTCACAAGAAAACATTTTAACCAGTCATGAAAGTAATATTTCATGGCTAGGAGGCCTACCTGTATTTCTGCAATTCGTGTTGTTTATTTAGTAAAATTCAAGTAAATATGAAGGCAATTATTTAAAATGAGGAAGTCAACTATTTGTACAAAGAACCGGCGGGATACTAAAATTGGTAACAATATACTCAAAATAGAGAATAAATAAATATTAAAAGTTAAGCTATTTTGGTTTAGAAATTCATTTTTGCCAGAACTTTTTATGGCGTAAAAAAAATTTAAATTAATTTTAATAAAATTAAATTTTAATAAAAATTTAACAGATAATAAGTTTGTTTAATATAGTATTTAAACATAGTAAATCAAAAACTTAAAAGTTTCTCTGCGCTTCTGCAAATAACTGGAATTATTTGTATTTATCTAAACTTGCTACTTATTGAAACCTATTGTGGTTATTCTGATTGGCATAAATAAAAGAGATGAGCTGGCTAACATCAATAAAGATGGTACTGAGAGGTAAGCTAGTTAGCATAATCGATTAGTCCACTGCCTAGACATGTTCCACTGGTTATAAACTTTCAATTAGATAATCTGGGATCTAGGAAAAGGGTTATTAAAAAATTACGACTAATGACTAACTGTTGTGCAGCATTAAACCTTTTTGTGCTAACTTTTCAGAACTGTTATTTCGATATTTTTGAAAATAATACTGAAATAACGGTTGTATTTTAAAAAGTGTTATTTCGATATTATTATTCCATTATCGTATTTGTACCAAGATAAGCACTTTAATAAACAGTTTATTTTTACGTTATTGTTATAAAAGCTTTATTTAAACATTTTTGATTGACATCTTTATATAATGGTCAGTAAACACATGATATGTAAAAGACGTCTCTGAGACGTGTAAAACACGTCTAGACGTTATTTAAACGTCTTATAAATAATGTGTTTACTGGGCTCACATCTTGTTTAAAATCCAATAGAACTCAGGAACATTGACAGGAAATATCAGGCTAAAAATTCCTTTTTTTAAATAAATCTCAGTGTATTGTAATATATTAGTGGACACTGACTTCAAAGCGAAGGTTTTAACCCTTATTTCGCATTCTTTGTCCACTCTTTTATAAATATATATATATATATATATATATATATATATATATATATATATATATATATATATATATATATATATATATATATATATATATATATATATATATTAAAAAGTTTTTACTTTTTTTCTGTATTATAAACAATCTTCACTTGTTCGTGTGGTGAAAATTTTTTAGCGGTTGAGTTCTTAAAGACTCTTTTGTTCTTTTGGAGAATTTTTTTTATTTTAGTTTAACAAAATAAAAATAATAATAATATTGAATAAATAAATAGAAAAAAAGATCGACCGAGTGTTAGAGCAGAAGATAGTGTACGCCTGCTTCTGTACGCTTGCTTCTGTACGCTTGCTTCTGTACGCTTGCTTCTGTACGCTTGCTTCTGTGCGCTTGCTTCTGTACGCTGGCTTCTGTACGCTTGCTTCTGTACGCTTGCTTCTGTACGCTTGCTTCTGTACGCTTACTTCTGTTCGCTTGCTTCTGTACGCTTGCTTCTTCACTTCTATTACGTTTATTGTACTATTTTTTTATCTTTTGGTTGGCGCAAAAATGAAAGTGAAAGTGAGAAAATGAAAGTGATCAAATTCCAATTCT